GAAGATAAATGGAAAAATATCCTTGGGTGAGGAGTTTTAAAATAAATAAATAAATAAAAAGTACAATTTATCTCCTGGCCGTTGTGGCTCAGTGTACTGAGTGTTGTCCCATGGACTGAGAGGTCTTGCTTCCTGGTCAGAGCACTTGCCTGAGTTGGGGGCTCAATCCCCAGTAGAGGGCATGCAGGAGGCAGCCAATCGATGTTTTTCTTTCTCCCTCTTTCTCTAAAATATTAACAGAAACATATTTTTAAAAAAGAACAGTTTATCAATCTTTTCTTTTGTGATTGTGTTGTTGGTGTCATGTCTAAGAACTCTTTGCCTAAACCCAGGCCATGAAGATGTTCTTCTATGTTTTTTCCAGAAGTTTTATAATTGTATGTCTTACATTTAAATCTGTGCTTTTAATTTTTGTATAAGATATAAAGTTTAGTCAAAGTTCATTTTATTGTAACGGGTGTCCAATTTTCTAGCACCACCTGTTGAAAAACACTGTCAAAAATCAGCTGGTGATATTTGTGTGGCTATGTGTCTGGGTTGTCTGTTTCATTGCAGTGATCTGTGGGGCCATCTCTCCTCAAACACCAAACAGTCTTGGTTATTGTAGTTGTATAATAAGTCTTAAAATCAGGTAAACTGATTTCCCCCACTTGATTCTTTTTCAAAACTGTTTTAGCTATTTCTTCCTTTGTCTTCCCATATAAGTTTTAGAATCATTGTGTGTACGCCTACAAAAAATCCTCTTGAGATGTTTATTGGAATTCTGTTAAATTTGTAGATAATTTTGGAGATAATTGACACCTTTATAATGTTGAGTGTTTCAGTCTATAAACATGGCATGTCCCTTCACTTATTTCAATTTTCTGTGGTTTCTTTCATTAGCATTTTGTAGTGTTCAGCATTCAGATTAGATTTATGCCTAAGTATTTCACTTGTGGGGCAAGCTATTGTGAATAGTATTATTTTTACATTTTTGTTTCCGATTGTGTATTGCTGGTCTATAGAAATGTGACTGATATGTGTTAGCTTTGTATCCTGTGACTTTGATACACTCACTTATTAGAGGATTTTTATTTATTTCTTTTTTGTATATTGCTTGGGATTATCTACATAAATAATCATGCCATCTGCAAATAAGGGTAGTTTGTTTGTTTGTTTGTTTTCTAATCTAATCAGTATGCTCTTCCTTTCTTTTCTCTCTTCCCCCTGCCTTTTTGCATTGGCTAGCACTTTCAGATGTTGAAGGGGAGAAGAGAGCAGATATTCTTGCCTGTTTAATCTTAGGGGGAAGACATTCAGTCTTTCACCATTAAATATGATTTTAACTGTAGGTTTTCTGTAGATGTCTTTTTTCAAGTTGAGGAAGTTCCCTTGCATTCCTCATTTAGTGAGCTTTTTTCTTTGTATTGTGAATGGGCTTTGAATTTTGTCCAGTGCTTTTTCTTCATCATTGATATGATTATGTCTTTTTCTTTAGACTCTTGGTATATAGATAATGTTGATTTATTCTCAAATAGTGAATCCGCCTTGCATTCCTGGAAAACTTCATTTGTGGAGTCTTCTTTTTATACATCAGCGGATTCAAATTGTGAGTATTCTGTTGAGAATGTTTGCATTTATGTTCATGAGGATTATTGGTTAGGACTATTCAGTTATCTCCTTCATCTTGGGTTCTTGAGGAATTGGTCCATTTTATCAGTTATTGAGTCTGTGTGCAGAAACTTGTTCCTGATAATTTGCTTTTATCCTTTTACTATCTGAAGAGTCTATACTTATTTCCCCTGCTTATTCCCAATATTGGTCATTTGTGCCTTCTCTCTCTTTTTGTCTTTTTCATTCTTGCTAGAGTTTTATCAATTTTGTTCATGTTTTAAAAGAACCACCTTTCTTTTTCTTTTTTTTTATGGCTAATCCTCACCTGAAGATCTTTTCCCATTGATTTTTAGGGAGGGTGGAAGGGAGAAAGAGAGAGAGAGACATCGATGTGAGAAAGACACATTGACTGGTTGCCTCCTGCACGACCCCAAATGGGGCTGGGGATCGAACCTGCAACCCAGGTATGTGCCCTTGACTGGAATTGAACCCACAACCCTTTGGTCTGTAGGCTGACTCTCTAACCACTGAGCCAAACCAGCCAGGACTCAAAGAACTATCTTTTTTTTTTTTTATCCTCACCCGAGGACATTTTATTCCATTTTTTTGTTCAGATAGAGTAGGAGGGAGAGAGAGGAAGAGAGAAACATCAACATGAAAGGGACACATCGAGTGGCTGCCACCTGCACGACCAACCAGGGCCAGTAACAAACTGCAACCAAGGTACGTGCCCTTAGCGGGAACTGAACCCGGGTCTCTCTGGACCGCAGGCCGACGCTCTAACCACTGAGCCAAACCATCTTTTTGGGCAAAGAACCATCTTTTTATTTCATTAATGTTCCCTATTTTTTGTTTGTTTGTTTGTTTTCAGTTTCATTGGTTTCTGTTCGTATCACTTGCTGTTTCCTTCCTTCTGCTTGTTTTGGGTTTATTTTATTCTTGTATTTCTATTTTCTCAAGGTGGAAGCTTATTATTTAAAATATTTTCTCTTTTCTAAAACAGGGATATAAGGCATTAAATCTCCCTCTAAGTAATTTATCTGCATACCATAAATTTTTATGTTATCTTTTCGAAAATTCAGTTCAAAATATTTCCTCTTATAGCTTCCTCTTATTTTCTTGCTGATCTTGATTTTTATTTGATATAATTTTCCTTCATCCTGAAGTACTTCCTTTAGCATTTCTTGTAGTGTGATTCTGCTGGCAACAGATTCCCTAGCATTCATGCATCTGAAATGCTTTTTATCTCACCCTCTCTTTTAAAGAATATTATCACTGGATATAAAATTCTAGGTTAACAGATTTCCTTTTCTTTCACCAATTTAAGTGTTGTTCCATTGTCTCTTGGTCTACATACTTTCTTGTGAGAAGCTAGCTGTTTTTCTTATCGCTCTGTTCTTGTAGGGTCTCCCTCTCCCCAAAGGCTACTTTTAAAATTGCCTCTTTATCTTTGGTTTTCATCAGCTTGACCCTGCTGTTCCTGCATGTGTTTGTCTTTTTATTTTCCATTTTGGGGTTCACTGAGTTTCTTGCACCTGTGTATCGATGTGTACCTCTAATCCACTGCACAGTTCTTGCTGGTGTGCATCCCCCATATTGTGCCCCCATCCTGTCTTTGACAAACCCCTGAGATACCTCCAGCTCACCCTAAAAAATGCTGTTTCCATGAGCATCCTTCTACAGGTCCCCTTAGCTGAGTAAGATTTTATTTGAGATGTTAGAATCTAGAATAGTTTCTGGCTTGCAAGATTTGCCTATACTAAACTTGACTGAGGATTGCCAGGTGTCCACATGGTGATGGGATGATCCTAAAGTGAGGAAAGAGTGATGGTGAGGAGAGAGGAAAGGGTGGGGAGGATTTCTGGAGCCTCATGTTTGAGTAGGTGATAAGGGCCGGTACCCTCTGTGCAAGTGGAGGAGTTAGCCAGGAACGTGGACAGTTCATCCGCAGACAAGGAGGGAAAGCAGAGGCAAGGGCCAGATGAAAGTAGATGGGTAGGTGTGATGGCAGGAACTTGGGGAATTTTTTTCTGTGGCTTCTATTTTCTTGGTGATGTAGGAGGCAACCTGAGGGGCAGGATGAGGGAGGGGGTACGGACAGTTCAAAGAGAAGAAGGTGTGAAATAGCTGTATTGGAGGTTGGGAGTGTGCATGACCAAGGCAATAGAGCCCGCTCGCTGGGCAGTTTGCAGGCTACTCTTGGGTTAGTGAGAGTGGGCAGTGCTTCTGGGAGAGGCTGGGCATGGAGCAGTGCTCGGTGCCTGGCACCGTTCTGGGCTCTGCAGGCACAGGGTGGGCAGTGCAAAGGGGCCATAGATCACCATGGACTCACTATTCTTCGGTGTGCTGGGGAGGCGGGGGTGGTGACAGTGTAGTGGGAAGGTCTGTAATTATGTGAACAGGTTGCTCAGCAGGTGTACGTACTCAGTGTTGCTCTATCTATAGCTCTAGTTTGTATCATAAAAGTGATGCATGCCATACCGAAACAATTAGGAAAAGGTTTAAAAATGATAAATAAAAAAGTAGATCGCTCTGGTCAGTTTTTCTCAGTGGTTAGAGCGTCAGCCCGCGGACCAGAGAGTCCCAGGTTTGTTTCCCACTAAGGGCACGTACCTCGGTGCAGTTCAACCCAGGCCCCGGTTGGGGTCGTGTGGGTGGCAGCCAGTCTATGTGTCTCTCTCACATCAATGTCTCTCTCTCTTCCTCCTTTTCTTCCTCTCGCTGTATCTGAAGATAAATGCAAAAAAGTCCTTGGTTGAGGATAAAAAAAAAAGGTAGATCACCCGAAACACCCCTCTCCTCCCAAGAGGCAGCTACAATTAGTTAACATTCAGATGTCTTATTATTAAAGAAAAGGGCTAGTCCCTGATCAGTGGGCCCCTGGGGTCTGACCTCATGTCCAAGTGTGAGTAACACCCCCACCAAATGCAGTCAGGCAGCAGTGTGCAAGGCTGAAGGGGCCAAGAGGGGCCCTCTCCCCATTTCTGATGGAAGTCAAGGAGGACTGCATGAAGGAGGTGGCTGAGAATTAGGTCTTGAAAGTTGAGGGTCCCTTGAGCCTGTCTTGCTGTCTTTATCCCTCCTGCCTCCCCTTGTTCGGTGTCTCTGAAGGATGGGGCCAGCTCCCAGCGCCTGTCCTACTGTGCGGCTAACAGGGTGGGCATGCTCCAGGTGAGATGAGCGGGGAGGGCCCACTGTGTGAGGAGCAGGAGGCAGAGTGGCCTGTGTATGCTGCTCCCCTGTCGCCCTTCCTTGTATGGAGTGTGCAGCCTGTGTGGCCACACACATTGTCATGCAAAGAGACTCCTTCCACCCTGCCATCAACCCATGGCCTGGTGTCCACCCTGCAGCAAGGAGGAGAAGGAGGGCTATATGTTCCACCCTGCTGGGTCTGTGTCCCCCTCCAGATAGCAGCGACAGTGAGGTGGAGCTGTCCATGGTGCGCCACCAGCCAGAGGGGCTGGAGCAGCTGCAGGCACAGACCAAGTTCACCAAGAAGGAGCTGCAGTCCCTCTATAGGGGCTTCAAGAACGTGAGTGATCCCCACCCCCCAGGACAGGTCCTGACCCACCCACCCCTTTTGCCCCTGGCTCCAAGAAGGGGTATTCTGGCCCAGGCAGACCTTCTAGAAACTTCCATGGAACAGAAACTGTCCCGGGGCCTTGATGAGGCTCGCATTTTGTGAGACACCTGTCTTGGGAAATGTGTGGGCCAAGTCCCAGAATCTGAAGGCCCCCTGCTTCTTTCTGTGAGTCTATGTACTGGAACAGGGGAGGGGGGACGGGGGACCAGACTAGCCTGAGGGGACCAGCCACCTCCCCACCTGCCCCTCCCAACCACCAGGTTTCCCTGAGGGCTTGGTGGAGCCCAGCAGTGCCCTGGGCAGTAGGTATCCCTCAGAGGGAGGACTCAGGGTGCGGGACTGGGTGGCTGAGGCTGCTGAGGGGGTGACTTCCTGCTGCAGGAGTGTCCCTCGGGCCTGGTGGATGAAGACACCTTCAAACTCATTTACGCACAGTTCTTCCCTCAGGGAGGTGAGTTTGAGGCCAGACCCCTGCCCCCCTGCTTCTCCCCAAACCCCCACTTTGTCTCTGTGGCAGTTCTGCAGAGGGTGGGTGTCCCTTTATGGGGAGGGACCCTCACCTCCACTCTATGCTCTCTGCCACCACTTGCTTCCTGGAGGCCTGATGCTGCCTCTATCCCGTTGCAAGGGGGGACCCCAGCTCAGGACATAAGTGGGCCCTCAGTGGGACTCTCTGAGGTGGGGGCTTGGCTACCAGGAGTCCCCAACACACCCCAGCCAGTGCTCTTGCCTCCCCCAGATGCCACCACGTACGCGCACTTCCTCTTCAATGCCTTCGATGCTGACAGGAACGGGGCCATCTGCTTCGAGGTAGGTCTCTGCTGTACCCTCCCAGATCCCCTGCAGCTTGCAAGGTGTCCCTCTGCCCTGGTGCCGCGCCATCGGGCTGTCCAGAGGGTCAGGCATGATCCTGGTGTACATGGTCCTGTGTGTCCCCCAGAGGGCCGGTGGACTGTGTCTGGCTGACCCCGAGCCTAAGTATGAATTCAGTGGAATTTGGTTTCGCTGTCTGGCCACCCTATTCCCAGCCTTGTCTTCCAGTCCAGCCCTACTGAGTCCAGGGAGCTACTGCCGGCACCCTGATGTGGCGGTGACCGGGGTGAATTTGCATCTGAAAGGAGGCAAGTCTGCCCTCGGGGATCCGTGCCATCAGTGGGGTTTCAGGCACCCAGCCCCACACTTCACCCCCTTTGCAGAAAACAGACAGAGCACCTGGCCCAGCAGGCTCCTGCCATCCCAGCCGGACACTAAGTGAGCCTCGTGTCTCTGCTGTCAGGAAAGAGGAGCCTCAGTGCCCCCCCGAGGGCTCCCCACCCAGGCCTGGCCACAGGATCATTTGAAGGAGGCATGTCTGTGGAGCTCAGGCCCCTAAAAATAGCTGCAGGTGAAAAGCTGAAACCTCTTTGGGGAGGAAAGCCATGCAGAGAGCCAGGCGTGATCGATAACCACTCGGCCCAAGGGCGGTGACAGGAAAGCCGCAGGGCCAGCTGGGGGGGGACGACAGTAGCTGTGACGACTGTCCTAACACTGCCACATCCTGCTGTATGTGCCAGCCCACCCAGCGGCGCACTGGCACCCCGCCTGGGTGACCACAAAGCCCACGCTCTTAGGGCTCGTGTACGTGTGTGAATGTGCAGTGTTTCTGTCTTCTCTGTTCTCAGTTATTTTACTGAGAACTGCACACAGTAAAATCCAATCAGCACAGAAGAGTAAACAGGGCAAACAGGGAAACTCGCTGTCCCCCCGGCCCCTCCCTGGGACCAGTTCCCGCTGATCCTTCACGCGGCACCTGAGACATCTGGGAGCGAAGTGTGGGAAGGACTGTAGTGTGAGAAACTCTCCGGGGCATTGTGGTGGTTTCTCTTTTTCTGAAATCAGAGGATCAAACTGCTCAGCAGGGCCCCTCGCAGCCCGGTGTGTTCAAGTGGGTGTTAGGAAGGTCTAGGTTACCCTCCTGTGGTCATTGTTCTCCATCCCTTGAAGGGGTCTTTTGATACCTTGAAGGTGGTAGGTGGTGGGTCTTTGGGGGTCTGCTGTCAGCGGCTGAGTTGAGGGTGCAGGTGCTGAGGCCCCTCTGCCTGGCACCTCTCAGAAGGTTGCTCCTGCGGTGCCGTCTGGGCCTTCCAGTGCTTGTCTGCAGTGAAGGCAGCTCGTCTGGTTTTGCATGGTGTTTGTTCGCCATGACGACCTTCCGTTTGATTTCGGGGTCTGCTCTAGGACAGCTTTCAGGAAGGCAGGAGGGCATGTATCTCCCCAGGGACTTCCAGCCAGCAGGGTACCATGCTGGCTGCTCACAGGCCAGGAAGTGTCCCGACAGGTTGGGGTGACACTCAGCCCCTTTGTGGCCTCAGACTCAACGTGCTCTGAAAATGGAAACTCCGGTCAGTTTATGAGCATTTGCTGTTATTGCGATTCTTTTGTTTATTCTGGAGAGACAAGACCTGTATTAATTCAGATTTATTGATATGAGAAAATATCAATATCAAAATATAAGCCCCTTGCCCTCACCAAAGATTACCAGAAAACAGACTGGCAAAACCAGCAAACATGGAGCTGTGGTCCCACGTTGTCCCTCAGGGCCTGCCTCCTGCTCTGGTCCTCCTGGGTCCTCTGGGTTGTGCCATAGGAGGGAGCCTGGGGCTGCCCCCCTCCCACGTGCAGACAGTGCTGTACAAAGGTGCAATCCAGGGCCCGGCGAATTCACCTCACTCATCTGCCGGGATCTCGCTCCCTCTGAGTATGATGGCTGGTGTGTGCCTCGGGGAAGCTGTGGCTGCCTCCCCGTGCCTCCCCCTGCAGTGACCACACTGGGTTCGCCTTGAGCAGCAGGGAGGCCTGCAACCTGCAGCCACACCCTCTGACCCCACCCCCTGGCTGAGCTGCTCTGGGCTCTCCCTGGTGCCCTCGTGGGCACTCTGGGGTGTCTTCATTTGGAAGCTGAGACTGGGACAGCCACAGAGCAGGCTGTGGACGTGGTAGGCTTCGTCCGCCTCAGTGTAAGAGCAAGGAATCCCATACAACTAGCGACAGTCCACACGGGTGCTGTGTGGGCTGGCAATTGAGAACTAGCAAGCTAGCTGGACTGGGGGTCATCTGCAAGCTACTGAAGAGGGGCCAGTGGCCTCACAGGACACATTCCCACCCCTTTTCTCCTGGTACCATCGTTACTATACTGAGGGACACTAAACGGGGACAATCTTTGGCTGTGGTTGGCCACGGGGGCTTCCACTCGTCAGACCCAGGTCTGTGAAGAGGGGAGGACATGGGGCCCTCCCATGGCGCACAGGAGCAGGGGGTTCTTTGTGGGACTCCATGCCTTTGCCTCCCACTTGGAGAGCCTGGGAGACCCCAGAGGAGAGGGAGGGACGTGAACTCAGATGCTTTGACTCTTCACTGCTGAGTAAACCACGAACAAGCTTCAGTGATGGCCTCGCCCCCAGCGTGGGCCTCTGCGGACTGTCACGTGGTTTCTCCTTGATGTATTTTCATTTTCTTCACTTAAACACACACATGACTTCAAGAGTTCCGTGGATTACAGGGTGTACCTTGGGAAACCGCAGTTAACACCCCACACCCCGGAGGAGGCAGACTTCTCCCGTTTTAGCCGACGATCACTGTCCGTGTCTGGATGATCACTGTCCGAGTCTGGATGATCACTGTCCGCGTCTCGATGATCACTGTCCGCGTCTGGATGATCACTGTCCGAGTCTGGATGATCACTGTCCGAGTCTGGATGATCACTGTCCGCGTCTGGATGATCACTGTCCGCGTCTGGATGATCACTGTCCGCGTCTGGATGATCACTGTCCGCGTCTGGATGATCACTGTCCGAGTCTGGATGATCACTGTCCGCGTCTGGATGATCACTGTCCGCGTCTGGATGATCACTGTCCGCGTCTGGATGATCACTGTCCGCGTCTGGATGATCACTGTCCGCGTCTGGATGATCACTGTCCGAGTCTGGATGATCACTGTCCGCGTCTGGATGATCACTGTCCGCGTCTCGATGATCACTGTCCGCGTCTGGATGATCATGTCCGCGTCTGGATGATCACTGTCCGCGTCTGGGATGATCACCTGTCCGCGTCTCGATGATCACTGTCCGCGTCTCGATGATCACTGTCCGCGTCTGGATGATCACTGTCCGAGTCTGGATGATCACTGTCCGCGTCTGGATGATCACTGTCCGAGTCTGGATGATCACTGTCCGCGTCTGGATGATCACTGTCCGCGTCTCGATGATCACTGTCCGCGTCTGGATGATCACTGTCCCGTCTGGATGATCACTGTCCGAGTCTGGATGATCACTGTCCGCGTCGGGATGATCACTGTCCGCGTCCCGATGATCACTGTCCGCGTCTGGATGATCACTGTCCGAGTCTGGATGATCACTGTCCGCGTCTGGATGATCACTGTCCGCGTCTGGATGATCACTGTCCGCGTCTGGATGATCACTGTCCGCGTCTGGATGATCACTGTCCGCGTCTGGTGATCACTGTCCGCGTCTGGATGATCACTGTCCGCGTCTGGATGATCACTGTCCGCGTCTGGATGATCACTGTCCGCGTCTGGATGATCACTGTCCGAGTCTGGATGATCACTGTCCGCGTCTGGATGATCACTGTCCGAGTCTGGATGATCACTGTCCGCGTCTGGATGATCACTGTCCGCGTCTCGATGATCACTGTCCGCGTCTTGGATGATCACTGTCCGCGTCTGGATGATCACTGTCCGAGTCTGGATGATCACTGTCCGCGTCTGGATGATCACTGTCCGCGTCTGGATGATCACTGTCCGCGTCTCGATGATCACTGTCCGAGTCTGGATGATCACTGTCCGCGTCTGGATGATCACTGTCCGCGTCTGGATGATCACTGTCCGAGTCTGGATGATCACTGTCCGCGTCTCGATGATCACTGTCCGAGTCTGGATGATCACTGTCCGAGTCTGGATGATCACTGTCCGAGTCTGATGATCACTGTCCGCGTCTGGATGATCACTGTCCGAGTCTCGGATGATCACTGTCCGAGTCTGGATGATCACTGTCCGAGTCTGGATGATCACTGTCCGCGTCTGGATGATCACGTCCGCGTCTGGATGATCACTGTCCGAGTCTGGATGATCACTGTCCGCGTCTGGATGATCACTGTCCGCGTCTGGATGATCACTGTCCGAGTCTGGATGATCACTGTCCGAGTCTGGATGATCACTGTCCGAGTCTGGATGATCACTGTCCGAGTCTGGATGATCACTGTCCGTGTCTGGATGATCACTGTCCGAGTCTGGATGATCACTGTCCGTGTCTGGATGATCACTGTCCGAGTCTGGATGATCACTGTCCGCGTCTCGGGCAGCAGCCTCCGCCCTCCGCCCTCCGCCCACGCGGCCTGCGGGCGCTGCTGGGTGAGGACTCGCCTCCCTTGCTCACTTTTCCATCCCCAGCGCCAGCAGATGAGCAGGTCAGATCGTTGGGGCTCGCGGTTTACCCTGATCACGGGGGTCGCCCCGTAAGCCTTGCGGGAAATTGCGGCGGGCGCTCCTCCTGCACACGTTCTTATTCCGAGTTTCCACTTGCCCAGTGTCGTGACCTCATCGTGAACTCGACCCCAGGCCCTTCTCCAGTCGTCTGCATGGGCGTCTGTCTCCCTGAGGGTACCTCCCCACCTCCCCGCTCCATCCTCCGCCGGGCATTTTCTGGGGATCTCTTCCCCTCGCTCCCACATTGGGTCTCCTGGTTCCCGATCCCACCACCCTCCTCTTTACTCCCTCTTTTCAGGGGCACGTCTCAGTGGCTTCCTAGGAGAGAAAAGTGTGCGGGAGCACTTGAGCATTTGGAGGTCTGGGGGTGCCTTCACCCCACTCTCTCGCTGGACGAGTCGCATGGGGCCAGGGCCGCGGTGGGGAGCTGTGCTCCGTCAGAACAGACCGGCCGCCGGCGGCCCCGGCTCCTGCCCCCTGAGCCTGTGTACGGGACTTGACTCTGCTTTCTCTTGGGTTGGGTTTTTCTCTCTGGAAGCCTGTAGGATCCTCTCTCTGCACCCAGTGTTCTGAACGGGCATCAGGACCTATGCCCACAGGCAACGCTGCGGGCTGTTTGCCGTGCTGGGCGCCTCCGCCGACCCCACGGCGCTGCCTCGGCGGGGAGTCCCCCTACTTCCTGGCCCGCGTCCCTGCGTGTCCTCCGTTCTCCCTGGCTCCGCTCCGGTTCGTGCTGGGGCCTGGGGAGCGGCCTCTGTCGTCATTTCTCGGCTGCCTTCCCGCTCTGCCTTCCCCTGCCTCACGGGAGACCCACTTGCTTCCTAACCCTTCTTCCAAGTCTGTCATTTTGCTTTCTTGTTTTTAATTCCCAAGAGCTCTTTCTTGTTCTCAATTACTCCTTTTATTTAAAAAAAAAAATGTTTTTGTTTTGTTTTTATTATTTTGTTACAGAGAAACATTGATTGGCTGCCTCCTGCACGCCCCCTGCTGGAGATCAAGCCCTCAACCGCGGGCATGCGCCCTGACTGGGAATCAAACTGGGACCTCTCAGTCCGTGGGACGGCGCTCAATCCACTGAGCCACATGGCTGGGCTATTTCTTTTCTTCATTTTTTAATAGCATCTAACTTTTATTTTAGGGATCTTAGATTTTCAATCTCTGAATCTAATAGTTTTTTTCTCCTGTAATTTTGTTTCTCCCAAATTGCTTTTCTCTGTTTCCCTGAGATTTTCTCTTTTGTGACACAGGCTTCCTCAGATCCAGAAAGTATAAAATTTGAGTGGGTACTAAGCCCCGTGGTGTATGACCCTGTCCCTCACAGTCTGCTTCCTTCCACCTTTCTGGGACAGGCCTTCTCTGCGCCCCTTCTTTCGGAACACCCTGGGAAGACCCCGCAGGGCAGGGGCTCACCCTGCAGCTTTCTGGGAGTGGAGGGAAGACTGTGCGTCCCACCTGCTGTTGTAACACAGCAGGTGACGTTTCCATGTGGAAGCCGTTGGAACGTCCCTGTCTTGTCACATTAGCAGACAGTTATCCGTCACACTCAGACATTTGTCCTGATCCAGAATTGAGCACTGTTAGCTCAGCTTTTGAAGCTGGAGGTTTTCAAGCACCCTGACTTGCAGATACTGGTAAACTACAAGTAAGGCACCCCCTTTCTGAGAGAGTACGCCCAGGTCCCTTTCACCATGGCAATGCATTAGGTCTGAGACAACATATGTTTGAATATCTTTACTTGAGAAGATCAGTATCAGCCACCATGCCATCCCTGCCACACAGACACACACATTCACAGGCGCACACATGCACACGCGCACACATATGCACACACTCACACATATGCACACACACACATGCACATGCGCCTGCACTGTGTCAAGCTGATGGAGGCCACCAGTCTGCTCTGTAACAGAAGTTCCTTCCCTCCAGAGCTGTGAATTGAAGGGAAGGCACACAGCAAACTGGAAATGAAATCTGGAGTCAGATTGTCACTCCTCACCCTCCTTTCCTCCCAGGACTTTGTGGTTGGCCTCTCCGTCCTCCTGCGAGGAACAGTCCAGGAGAAGCTCAAGTGGGCCTTTAACCTCTATGACATTAACAAAGATGGCTACATCACCAAGGAGGTATGGGGCTGGGGCATGGCCCATCTGCCCTCCTTCCCCCCACTGCTGCTGCCCAGGCTGCACTGCCTCCTCTCCTCTCTCACCCAGAAACCAGGTGGGGACAGCCACCGGGGAGCTCTCCTCCTTTGCTGAGCTCTCTGTCCTGGGCCCCCGAATGCAGGGGGCGTGGGGGGGTGTGCCCCTCACCTCAGATCTAGATCGAGTTCAACAAGTATCCTAGGATCGGGATTTCTTACAGAAAGGCCTAGAGGAGACACAAGTGGAGAAGCCTAGGGTGGGGCTGGCCTTGGCTCCCACCAATCGGGCCATTGAGGGGCTCTCACCACATGGGGCACAGTCGGGTTCTTATGGCCCAAACATTTTTTGGTATATGAAATAGTTGCTATAGTTTCAAATTTTGGAGAAAAAATCTATCTCCAACTTCTCTTGGAGGGTCAGAGCTCACTGGGCAGAGTGATGGGGGCCCCTCCTGCTCACTCATACCTGCCCTAGAGGAGTTTTCCCCCTTAGATGCAGCCCCCTCCCTGTGAGCCCTTGCACCCTCCCCTCATCCTTGCAGCTAGACTCATGCCAGCTCCTCGCCCCCCCCCCCCAGGAGATGCTGGCCATCATGAAGTCCATCTATGACATGATGGGCCGGCACACCTATCCCCTCCTGCGGGAGGATGCGCCTCTGGAGCACGTGGAGAGGTTCTTCCAGGTGAGTGCTCCAGCCTGGATGTGCAGGGAAGGTGACCCAGGAGGAAGGGTCACCTTGGGCAAGCCACTCCTCTCTCTGAGCCTCCTCCTCCCACAAGGAGGTTAAATGGGCATCCCTGATCTGCTGAACCTCGGCCCAGGGCAAGCTGGGCCTCATGGATTCCAAGGCCGCAGACATCTTGGCCAGTGTGCTGGTTTCTGAGAGCTCCTCCAGCCCCTCCAGGGAAACTGTCTGCAGGAGGAGTGGAATTGGGGTGACTTCTCTCTGTGTCCATGGGACATGTGGCCTTCCTGTGTCTTGGTTGCTCCATCTGCCCTGGTTGCCTATCAGGGTGCATTCTGGGAAGTACAAGCCTAGGAGGCTGACAGAAGCAGCTGGGGGTGGAGGGCAGACTGGGGAGAGGTCAGCTGTGGGGTGGGAGGGGCTGAGGAACACACTTCATGTGGCCGGGATCCAGTGTAAGGGACAGAGGGGACAGGTTGGGGTGGAGGAAGCCCACCCTCTGCCACATCCTCAGGCCTGGGTCAGGGATTGTCCCTGGTGAAACAGACTCACCGAGGGTGTGGCTTGGGTTGCAGAAAATGGACCGGAATCAGGACGGGGTAGTGACCATGGATGAGTTCCTGGAGACCTGTCAGAAGGTAGGTGTCCTTGGAATTGGGAACACACAGTGTGCTGCCCCTGCTAGTACTCAGGTCACTCCCCACCTCCACACTCCACTTTCACCCTCTGCACCGCCCCTGCCAGCCACAGCCCACTTGGGCACACTGTACTCAGCCCGGCCTTCGCCTGCCGTGACTAGAGCGGCAGAGGTGGGGGGACGGGGGGATGAGGCAGTGGAGCCCTTGGCAGGGTCACACACCTGGAGTCTTCTCTGCAGAGCACCCTTGGAGGTGGGGGCAAAAAGACTGCACCTCTGCCACTTGCAGAGTGACCTCTCAGTCGCCCTTGGCCTCTGTTTGGGTGGACAGCCAGGGAGGTTTGTCCTCAGTGTCAGCGGATCCCAGACAGGCTGCAGTTAGGCCCTGGGGCTGAAGACAGGCTGTGCCTCACTGGCTCCCCCTAGCCCAGGACACAGGCAGAGCAGTCCTTGCGGGGGTCCAAGTCCCTGACCACAATCTGCTCAAGGTGGCTGGAGGTGGGCACCGCCCTGCCCTGTCAGCCTGGGTGTGACCCGGCCTCTCGCCCTGTCTCCACGCAGGACCAGAACATCATGACCTCCATGCAGCTGTTCGAGAACGTCATCTAGGACACATGGGGTCTCCAAGTGGCCATTGCCACCACCTCAATCCTGCCGCGAACAGCCTCCATGAGAAACTTTTTTCTAATGTATTTGCAAAAAGTGAACAGTTTGCTCCAGACACACACACACACACACACACACACACGCACGCACATGGGGGGCAGCTGGGGGCGCTGCATCTGGTTGGTCCAGGTGACATAAGCCACACCCCCAGCCAGCCCCGCCCCTGTCTGTCCCGGGCTGGTGGGTGAGGCAGCCGCTGGGGTGGCCGGTGGGAGAGCAGTGTCTGCAGCCCGCAGCTGTGCCGCAGGCAGTGCTCACTCCCCTGCCAAGGAGGGTCTGGTCTCGGAGCAGAGGCCCCTCCTGCGTGAGCCCAGCCACCCCGCCCTCCTGCTGCCCTTCTTCCCCACCACCCACGGCCAGGCTCTGGTCTCCTCGCCCCCCAGCCGCTCCCAGCCCCCGACCACACTCCCAGAAGCCCTCACCGCAGAGCCCTGAGGGACAGCCGGGGAGGTGCTGGGCTAGGAGAGAAGTGACCGAGGCAGAGCCTGCTGTTTCCTGGGTGAGCTCTGCTTCAGGGGTGAGGGCCCCTGGGCCCTGCTGTCCCTCCATCCTAGGAAGGGGGCCCTTTACGCTCAGGGTTGGGTTTCCTGGTGGAGCGTGTGAGGGGGACTGTGCCAACGCCACTAGATGGGAGCCGCCCTCCCCTACTTGCTCAGGCCTGGCTCGGGGATGCGGTGGTGAGCTGCCCCCACCCCTCAGGCTCTCAGCTGTTTGCCCCAAGTCACTGTATCCTGAGAAGAGGTCCCACGGCTCAGGGACCCGGGTGATGAGCGAGCCTAGGAAGGGCTTCTCCACCCCTCTGTCCCTCAGCCTCTGTCTCCCTCGGCCCAGCAGTCTGGTTGAGCACCCCCTTCTGCTTGGGGTCCTGAAGCAGTGTTGCCACCCCTCCACACGGGCTCACCCCAACCTCATACACAAAGCACAAGCACCCCCAGAGCTCAGGTTGAGCCCATGAGGGAAGCTGAAGACACTGCTTTTCCAAGATGAGCCCCCCCTTTGGGCTGAGGCCTGGTCCAGTAGCCCTGACACAGGGGTCCAGGGGGAGAAACCTGGGTCAGTTCTGTGCCTCAGAGCAGTGGGGGCTCAAAGCCCATCTCCAGCCCAGCTCACCTACTCAAAAGCACAAACTCTGGGACTCTGCTTGGCTGGGTTCTGCTCTGGGGATGAGTCTGATGTCCACCTGAGGCCAGAGACAGCAATGAGGGCTGAGGGGCCTGAGGTCCACAGGGACCTCCAGGAGACAGAGACGTGACTGCTTCTGCCTGCCCAGGCAGCACGGACCTTCCGAGGAACATTCCCAAACATACATTCCATCGGCTCCTATCCCACCTCTGCTCGGCCTGCTCCCTGGGTGAGCAGGGCCCTTCGAAGGAGGGCGGGATGGTGGAGGCCATGGAGACTGGTCTGGCTTGGCCATGGGGACTCCTTGGCACCCACGGGTGGTCCTCCCCTTGGAGTTGCACTGACACCCCATTTCCAGTCTGACTGGGGGGTCCCTCCCCTCCTCCAGGAGGGCATCAGCTTTCCCTGGCTCAGGGATCTTCTCCCCGTCCCCCAGCCCAGTCCTCCCAGCTGGTGTAGCTCTGCTTCTCAGGGGCCCAGGCCATAGGAGAGGGTCACCCACTCCCGTCCCCTGGCCTCAGCCAAACTGGCAGTCATCCAGCCAGTGAGGCTGTCTCCCACGCCGGGACATGGACTGGCCGCATGTCTGCATGGCAGAAGCGTCTCCCTCGGGCACAGCCTGGGAGGGTGGTTCCTGTTCTCAGTGCCCGCCGGTACTCAGTCCTGTATATTTTAATAAAATAAACTTGATAAAGGAGAGGGACTCTCCTTGGCTTTGTCCTGACTGTGAGTTTGGTCTGGCCTCCCATCTCTGCTGTTATCCACAGCTCCTGCCCGGTGCTATGCCGGTAAGTGTTTAACATGCCCCAGATTGTAGCATTTGCCAATTTCCATGCTGGATTTCAAGCTCCCAGTGTGATGTCACTGAAGGCAGAGTTGGGAAGTGATGGGCACAGTTGGAAGCCAGTATGAGAAATGCCCAGAAATGCCCGCCCTGCAGCCTCCTCACAGAGCCAGCGGGCAGGGTACCTTCTTGAGGTGTCATTTATATTTTGTTCCCGGATCATTTTGCTTTACTAGTTCCAGGAAGTAATTTCTGGAGGGCAGTCACAGCACAGAAACAGGATTTGCCTGAAGATACCTTCTTTTCCTGCTTTTTATTTTCAAAAGAATAAACTCAGTAAGGGTTATGCCAGGGGAGGGGCAAGACATGAAAACCTGGGGGAGGAGCAGAAGAGGTGCTCCCCACCATGGGGAAAGAGGAGAGGTAGGTTCTGGGGGGTGGTAGTGCTTTAAGGGACAGACCCCAGACCATGTGACATCATATCCACAGTGACACAGACCCAAGCCTCCGCAGCTCACCTGCTTTGACTGATAGGCATCTCAGCAGGATCCAGGTGGGCAGATGACAGGACCCCCTTCCACTACCACATATCAGAAGTTCCACCCCACCTGAGCTCGAGGGCCTTGGAACAATCCTGGGCAGGGAGCCGCCTGACTTTGCTGTCTGGGATGGGGTGGTCTGCGTCTGCCATCAGCTGGCCACCATGCGGAGCCCATCCACCCTGGCCAAAGCTGATGGACAGGATGGGAAAGTTGAGCTGAAGGTGTTAAGATCTCTCAGATATTAAAGAGTAGAGTCAGGACTTGGACCAAGGACAGTGGCTCCAGGCTGGGTGTAAGGACTGAACCACTCCTTCATGATGGGCCACAGAACTCAAAGCAGGGAAAGTCCATCTATCACCCATCCATCCACCAACCACCATTTATCTATCTACCATCCATCCATCATCCATCCACCATCCATCTGTCCATCCATCCATCCATCATCCATCCATCATCTGCCCGTCCATCCATCCATCATCCATCCATCATCTGCCCATCCATCATCCATCCGTCCATCCGCCCATCCATCATCCATCCACCATCTGCCCGTCCGTCCATCCATCATCCATCCACCATCCATCCATCTGTCTTTCCATCCATCCATCCATCCATCCACCTGTTTCCTACTCATCTACTCAGCACTTTTCTGATCCAGACATTCAGTGCAGAGGGAGTGGCTGAGCTGTGCCCTCTGCATGGCTGAATGGCAGTGAGTAGTCTAGAAGGACCCCTGGGCTCAGGGTAGGATGACCTCAGTCCTGATCTGGGCCACAAAACTCATGTGATCTTGGACAAGTCCCATTCCCTCCCCCCCTCTCTCTTTCTCTCTCTCGCTGTAGGAGAAAAGGAGGGAACAATCCCCAATTCATTTTAAAAACTGGTATTACTGTCCTGGCCAGGTGGCTAAGTTAGTTGGAGCATTGTCCAGTACACGAAAAGATTGTGGTTCAATTCCCAGTCAGGCCACATACGTAGGTTTTGGGTTTGATCCCTAATTGATTTTCTCTCTCACATCAATGCTTCTCTCTCCCTTCCTCTCCCTTAAAAAAAAAAAAATCAATAAATATATCCTTGGGTGAGGATAAAAGAAAGGAAAAAAAAAGACTGGTGTCACCAGGATTAAAAAAAATCAATTAGTCATGGATAAGAAAGAAAAATTACAGGACATTCTCAACTATAAACAAAGATGTAAAAATCAGAATATTAGTAATCTCATTCAACATGTAAGTTATATATACTTGATATATGTAACATATTATGACAGATTTGGGTTTATCCCAGAAATGCAAGGTTTAACATTAAAAAAAAAAAATGTAGGCACTTTAGTTTCCAATAATACAGAGTATCCAGGAATTTGGATTACTCCTTTCACTGAAAACAACATAAAATCTGGTTTCACCTGGGTCCGAGACAGCCGCGTGGACTGCCCAAAGCAGCTGGTCGCAAAGGGAATGTGCAGACTAGCTGCCTGCAGAGTGAGCCCGCGGGTTCCAGTTCGGAGCCTGGAGAGGAGAGTGGGATGTAGGCGGGGCCCAATCTGCACAGGGAGGGCGCCTATGGCCAGTAAGGGCGTCAGCATGGCCAGGAGTTATCCTGTGCCTACACAGAGCCAAGATGGGAAGGTCTAGAAGAAACTCTCCACCCACCTCACTCATACCCTGCCCACTTACATGAGAAAACTGCATAAGTCTCAAAGGGAAGATAAGGTCTACTTAGCCCTTGTCCAGAGCTGAGGGTCCCGGAGAAGGGGCAGTGTGAGGGGAGTGGGCCTGACAGGAGCTTGGTGTGGCCCTGGAATGTATTCAGGCTCCGTCTGAGCAGGCACCTGAGTGCAGCCCTCTCTTGGGTGGTGTTGACCCCTGTCAGGAGCCCGTCTGACTCACAAACTCCCCCTGACAGCACCCTGGTTGCCGAGGGCCATCTGTGCTAGAACTGGGCTCCCTGCTGTCTGCTGGGTACATTTTGTGTGTCTGTTCCTTGACCAGAAAACCCCAGCTACCCTCTAAGTCACCTGCCCCAGCCAGCCTGTCTTTGCTCTCACACCTGGACCCAGGCACAGGCCCCCTCTGCTCAGCATGCTTGGCTGGCTTTGAAAATTACCAAACTGTCCTGAGGGTGCATGATCTATGTGTACCCCATCCCTCTGCCTGAGAGGGCCCTTCCGCTCCCGGCAATGAAGGCTCTCTGGAGCTCCTCTCCCACAACATCCCGGCGCATCCTGGGGGCGCCAGGAAGGTCAGCTGATTGGACCCAGCCTGCTGCCTCTCTGGCACTCCCCTTCTCTGGCAGTAGCCGTCTCCCTGGGGATCCCTCCCCCTCTTTCAGAAAGTCTGGGACCCACCCTGGCCAGTTTTGCTGGGTGGTTAGAGCGTCAGCTTGCGGTCCAGAGAGTCCTGGGTTCGGTTCTCGCTGAGGGCACGCACCTTGGTTGCAGTTTGTCCCCGGCCCTGGTTGGGGTCATGTGGTGGCAACCGCTCGATATGTCTCTGTCACGTCGGTGCTTCTCTCTCTCTCTTCCTCCCTCTCTCCCTCCCGCTCTATTTGAAGATAAATGCAAAATGTCCTCGGGTGAAAATAAAAAAAAAGTCTGGGCCCCCAACTCCAAGGTCAGCCCTAAGCTCGCTGGTACGTGGCTTTCCTGGTCAGGGTGACTGGTTGAGGGTGGGCACTTGGAGCCCAGGGAGACCCAAGCCAGGAATGCTGGGAAAAGGCTCTGCTCCCTCACCATCTGAAGCTACGGGGACATGAGTCCTGGGGCGGTGCTGCCATGTCTCCACTGCGGGAGCCATGGGAATGAAGCCAGCGCTGAAGGGCTGGCTGAGGCATGGAGACTGAGGCAGCGAGGTGGGGAGGGGCAGGGTTCAGCCCTTGAGCTCAAAATCAAACTGTGCCTTAAGCAAACCTGTCCCGATCTCCAGAGTCTTCACTCACAAGAGCTACCCACAGGCTCCCCCGCTCCCAGCACTCCGCCCCAAGCTAGCCGAAAATTCCGAACTGCTACAAGCTTAGTGTCAAGCTCAGCTGTGGGGTGGAACGTGCTTTCTGGGTGCCAGTGAGCCCTGAGGAAGAGGGGCCAGCGCCAACATGCCCAGAGCTGTCTCCCCTGCCAGAATGTGGGCCTCTTCCAGCAGGAGCCCTGGTGTTCACCCCTGGGGCCCAGGGCAGCCCTGCAGCTGGCACATGGGGGAGGGAGTGGTCAGTGATGCTGCTGAACCAAAGGCTGCAGGGAAGGAGCCGCTGCTGTGGACCAGACAGCCCAGGGTGAGCTTGCTGGGTCACGGGCCAGCTCAGGGGGCACTGGGGTCACAGTCAGTTTGAAACATGTGGCCTGCACTGCAGGGCACCTCCTTCTGAGCATCCACCCCCACCCCACCCCACCCAGCCCAGCCCTCTTCCATGCACTTTCCTTTCCAGAGTAATTCTGGCTGTATCCCGTTCCCTGGAGCTTAGCTAATAAAGCCAGGCAGAGTTTTTTCTCTGTTTTGAAAAATCACCAAATACAGTAAAACATCCAGAAACTAAAAATAAGGCCCTGAAGAGCAGGCCATCAGTCAGTCCCCAACTGCCAACTGCCAGTTAACTGCCAGCCAACTAAGAGCACGAAATCCTCAAGGCCCCTTTGCATCCATTCTCACGAGAACCCACTTCTCCGTTTCGTTTCTCTCGCTGGAGCAGGCTGGTGCTTCTGCGAAACCAAGCACCTTTCTTTTTGGCTTCCTTCTTTCCCTGATCATTTCCTCCACAGGTTTCAGGATGCTATCTCAGCTCTTAGAGTGCTTATATGCTCAATATGGACATTCATTTCCTTGGCAAGAATCTTGTCAATGGCATGCTGGGTGGTACTGCAGACTCTTCCAGTTTTTCCATGGTAACACTTGTGGGGTGCTCCTTTTTGAACGGTCCCCACTCCCTGACGTCTACAGTACCACCTTTCTTGCAGGTTTGCACGTTTGTGGCCAAAAAGCAACTCCAAGTTTCTAAAAGACCTTGAGTACAGAATGGGCCCCTCTCCTCTCCCCATTGGTGCTGGTAACTTTGGCTCTGGCCAGCAGGTTAGTGCTATGTTTTCCAATTCCCTAATCCTTTCTTCAGCAATGTTGAATCTGCCATTAATCCATCTCGTGTATTTTTCATTTCAGACCTTGTAGTTTACATCAATGGAAGTTAGATTTAGGTCTGTTTGAACAATATCTTCCATGTCTCTAACTCTGAACAGATGGAGTACAGTTATAGTAACTGTTATAATATTCTTGTCTGTTAATTCTAACCTCTGTCAGTTCTGAGTTACATTAAAATGTTTGATTCATCTCACTATGGGTCCTGTTTTCCTACTTCTTTCCAAGCCTCGGTTATCTTTGATTAGATACCAGATCTTGTGAATTTTATCGTGTTGGCTGCTGGATATTTTATTATTTCTATAAACATTATTGAGCTTAGCCTGTGATGTAATTAAGCTACTTGGAAACAGTTTGATCCTGTTAGGCCTTGACTTTATTATTTTTCAGGCAGGTTCAGGGCTCATTACTCCCCACAGAGGCAAGACCGTCATGAGTTCTCTACCCAGTGTCCCATGATTTCTGTTTTGCCAATCTGACTAATGAGAAGAGGCACTACTCCTGGCCTTGCACAATCTCTTGTCACTGTTCCGTCTGATTCTTCTTGATGATTCTTTCCCTGGTCTCAGGTAGTTGCCTCACAGGCGTGCATGCTCAGTATTCTGCTGAATATTTGAGGGGGAACCTCTACAAAATGCTGACTTCTCTTTCTGCCCAGGTCTCTTCTCTCCAGTTCTCTGTCCTGCGAACTCTAACTTCCTTGGTCTTACCCGGCCCTCAGCTAAATTTCTGCAACTCGTGGGCTATATAGGCTCCACCTTGGTCCACTCTCCTTGTGCCACAGCATGGAAACTCTCAAAGCATTAAGCAGGGGCAATCATAGGGCCTCATTTGTTTCCTGTCTATCTGACACTGAGCTGGGCTACTTGCCTTAAAAATAAACTCCATTCTGATGAGTTATTCCCACACGTACACACCCAAGTGGTTTTCTAAAAAAAAACCTGGGACTGACACCCAGAGGAACCATAAAGATAAGGGGTTAATGATGGCCTTGGAAAATTCGGAAGGACCATAAAAAAGAAAGAGATTAATGATTTCCCTGACCCCTGTAACAGCTCTTCTCGTCCCGTGACAATTCCTCCCTCACCTCTGTAACAGCTCGCTCCTCTCCTATCAGCTTCGTTCCTCCCTTAACGGCACCAGAAGAATGTAGTTTCTGTAGTTTGAGCCTATATAAGCAACAAAGAAGGCTCAGGCCCTGTGAGTCACCCCACAGCCCGCCGGTGAAAAAAGTGCTCCTTTCATTTATAATTCGGCTGTGCGTCTCTGGTTGTCTCGCTGGCTCATTGTAACAACACCATTGCTTCATTACTTGAGGTCCAATTTCTTGAAAACCATTGTTTTGTATATTTTGTCTAAGTTTTTGGTCATTTTATGCAGGGGTAAATCCGGTCCCTGTTACTCCATCGTGTCCAGAAGCAGCAGTCCTCCTCTCCTTGGCATTTGAAAGGTGTGGCCCTCGTGACTCTGCCTAAGTTACATGTTCCCTTGCCCCCCTGTTCCCTGCAGTTTTTCTAACTGCTCCTCACCCTTACAGGGAGGGTCTCCTGACTGGGGCTTATGCCAGGCTCTCTGTCCATTCCCCCTGTTCACACTCGCCCCCCCCCCCCACTCCAGTTTTCATTTCTATTTCTATGCTGACCTCTGTCTATCCTGAAGCCAGACTAGAGCCCCACGCTCCAACTACCTACTCTGCAGTGCCCCCATGAATGTCCCACAGGCACATTAAATACATTAAACCCAACCAAAACTGAGCTCACCGTCCTCTCTCCAGACCTGCCATCCCTCCAGAACTTGTTTCCATGAATGGCACTGCCATTTACCAGGCCAGAGACCCAGGAGGCAGCCTTGCTCCCCCTCCCCCCTCACTCCCACCTCCTGTCATCAATGAGGACTGTCAGTTCTACCTCCTGCACATCTCTGGACTCTCATCACCTCCAGTGCACTCCAAATCACTGCTCTCATCTGCGCCACTCTCACCCAGACACCTTTCCTTGGAGGCGAGACCAGAATAAAACTACTCAACTGCAAGTCTAACCATGGCATCCCCTGTGATGACCTTCCAGTGGTCTCCTGTGTGCTAGATAAAGCTCAAATTCCTTCCTGGGACAAGCAAAGCCCTTGATAATCTGGCCCCTGATTAAATCTTGAACCTCTTGCCCAGAGACCCTTTACAGATCGTCTTTGCCAGAAGCCTGGAGAGCTTGGGTTGTAGCTGCCTGATTCATTAAACCACCTCTCCAGGAGAATGCTTGTCCTCTGAGGCTGGAGATTCTGCCTCCCACTACCCTGCCCTGAGCCCAACACAGTGCAGATGCAGACAGGGCTGCTGCGGACGGGTGTAGAAGGCTGGACAGGGGTCAGGAATGGTGGCCCCCCTCCTCACCGCCTGTGTCATCTTGCGCAAAGCATTTTCAGCCTTAGGTGCCCCATATGTAAAATGGGTACAATCATCCCTGCCCTCCTCAGTAATATGCCAGAGACCTGTCTTTGTCAACTAGCACACTAGAATTTGGTTTCTTCTACCGCATTTGCCCAACGATCAAAATGGTGCCCCGCTCAGAGCAGGGACCCGACACAGGGGAGGGGAGCACGGCACGCAGGGCGCAGCACGTCAGGAAACGCCCGCTCTCTGGTCGCTGTGAGCGAAGGGTGCCATCGGCCTCCTCGCGCGGGTCCAGCCCGGAGGCCCGAAGCTCCCCGGGGCAGATCACCTGCCTAGCAGCGCTGGGCCCGCCCCTCCGTACGTGACTTCCGAGAGAGGACGACGCGCCCTGCTATTGGCCATCGTCCTAGACGTCACCAGGGAGCGCCGCCTCTGCCGACGTAGTATTAGAGAAGCCGCGGAGCGCGCCGCAGCGGTGGTCCTCCGGGTGGGTGGCCACTAGTCTCGCGACGGGAAGTCAGTGTCTCGGCGTCCGCCAACCCCAGACCCCGGCCCCGCGATCCTGGTCCAATAGCGCGGGGCGCCCTCCTCCCAGCCGCCGCGGCCAGGTAGGTCGGGTTCGGGCCGGCCTTGGGGGGATCCCCCACGCGAGTCCTCCCGCCAAGGGCAGGACTGGACCTCGGGTCCCGGCCTTTCGGACCACACGGACGAGCTCTCGTGAGCGCCCACTGAATGCAGGGTACCAAGCTGAGCATGTAGGGAAACTGAGGGACTGGCCCAGGGTGCCGTGCGTGTGGACGGTCGGCAGGACGCCGTCCCAGGTACACACACGTCTCCAAGCTGCGATGCTTATGTGCCGTTTCCGCTCCCGTCGCTGCATCGTTTTCCGAGTTGCATCCAGCTCGGGCTCTGTGGCAGAGGAGTAACCGCGGATGCGCCGTTGCCACTTTCTGACTGGTACCTTGGCAGGTGACGGCTCCTCTTTAGCCCTCAGTGCCCCTTTCTGTAAGATGGGGCGCTCTGCCCGAGGGGATGGTGGTAGGACCGAGTGAGAACCTGCACGTGCAGTTCACGTGGGAAGGGCACAGTCAGTGCGCCTGGGGTTATTTGGAGAGCAGGTGACCAACAAGCCTTATCCCTGAGGCGGCAGCCAGCAGGTGACCAGGTTTTCCTGAGCATGGCTGGGAGCAGACAGGGTGTTTGGGCCTCTAGAGGATCTCCTGTTGGAGGACCTACTTCTCAACACAATCTTCTGGGCTAAAGTGCCCTAGGCATTAGTGGGGGTGGGCCAAAGCTAGATTATCTTGTTTGCACACCACCTGGTTTCTGAACCAAGGGTCAATGTCACCTGAACTTGGATTCAAGTCCCAGCTCTTTCCCCTCCTTTGGAACGTGGGAAAATCCCTTAATCTCTCTAAGCCTTAGTTTTTAAATCTGTAAAATGAGACGAACAATGCCTACTTCCCACAGTTATCAAAATAAATCAGACATTGTGGATAAAGCACTTAAATGAGACTTGGCATTCAGGGAGCAGTTATTGTATATATTTTAGCAGGTGCAGTGTCTGAGTCCATGCATTTGGCTAGAACAGCCTTTATCAGTGGCATGGTTGGGCTCGTGTAAGACAGGAGGTCAGGAGCCCCTGTTTTTCTGGTCAGGCTAATCAGACTGCACAATGGTTAGATTGGTTACCTGGGTCTAATGCGTCTCTAATGAACAAGACAGATTGAATCATCAGGGTGAGGATCAGGAGTCTGGGACTACCTCCACATGCCTGAGCATAAAGGACTGTTTTTAAATAAAGCAAGGAACCAGGTAGGAGAGGGACTGTTTGGAGTTCAGACGTAGAAACAAAAGAGAAAGGGGTTTGTCTTTGAGTGGAGCCTAGGACTTGAAACAGGGTCTGAGCCCTGTTGAGACCCAGGTGATTTGAAGAGGGAGGGCACAGCCATGCCTCCTGATGTTTACAACCACCAAACTTTCCCAAGTACATGCAGTGAAAAGTCAAACCCTTGCTTCAGGAATTTGTTCATTCAACAGAGAGTAGCTGAGAGCTTCTGTTTGCCAGGCACAGTGGACTCCACAGTGAAAGAGACAGACAAGGCCCCAGAACCTAGAGAGGAGACAGCCTGGTGATGCCTGCCAGGCCTAGACCCTGTCCTTGTCTGCAGCCTCTTCCCTCAGGCAGCCTGTGCTCCAGCAGGAAGAAATTAAATATTTACTGTCTGGAGAGACAGGTGAGGGCTGCTCCTAGAAGACTGGAACAGGGGGCTTATGTCTTGGTAATGTGAGCAGTGGAAAGCATTTTAAGTAGAATGGTAATAGGATCAAATTGGCATTTTAAGAATTGCTTGTAGCAGGTGTGAAGCCACTTTCCCCAGTGTTCATTTGCGTGGGAAAGTGGATGGGCACCACTCTTATCTAACTCCTAGTCCTGCTCATCTTAGCTCAGCCCAGCTCAGCATCACTTCCTTAAGGAACTAGACAAATCCTTGACCTGGGAAACCAAACCAGCAGGTAGCTCTATTGCAAGGGAGCAGGGTAGCCTCAGCTTTCCTTTCTCACCTGATCTCTTAGGGAAGAGCCTTAGAAATCTTATAGGATAGCAGCCTCATTTTATAGAGGGGGAAATTGAGGCCTGGGAAGGATGCTTATCCAAGGCCACAAAACTACTTCATCACACTACCTTGGTTACACTTGCAGGACCCTTGATCGTCACAGCAGAAGTCCCATTGCTGAATCCTATGGCATTGATTGTTAACATCAGTCTTCCTTGTGAGCAGGATGGCAGGGCTGAGTGTGTCTGATCTACACTGTTTGCCTGGTGCCTTAGTGGTACCTGATACAGTGTATGCTTTCAGAAAGCACTGGTTGAAGGAACACTGGGCTTGCTGGCACCTAGCTTAGGGCCTGACATACAGGAGTCGCTCCCCTAGAAAGGTATCATTGTGTGCATTAAATGGAATGTGTAGCAGGGTGAAGTAACTTATAAATCCAACTGCTTCCATGTGCTGTGCCAGGAACTTGAAGGCACTTGGGCTGCAGCTCGAGGAACTTTGGGGTCCTGGTGGTGGCTCCCAGCTCCTTCTGTACCCTGTGATCTGCTTTTTTCTCCATAGACTCTGATGCTGTTCCCTGGTAGAAGAAGATTGCTCACGGCTCTGCTGCAGGCTCAGCGGTGGCCCTTTCAACCCTCCAGAGACATGAGACTGGTGCAGTTCCAGGCACCTCGCCTGATGGGACCTCACCTGGGCCTGGAGTCAGGGAATGGCGGGGGGGTCGTCAACCTCAATGCCTTTGACCCAACACTGCCCAAGACCATGATAGAGTTCCTGGAGCAGGGAGAGTCCACTCTCTCAGTGGCAAGAAGGTAAATCAGCAGGCAGCATCACCCTGTGGTGGTTGCCCTATTCCTCCTCTTGCTCCTCTCACCCGCTCCTTGCTCTGGGAAACAGAACCAAGAGGTAGCTCTTTTGCAAAGGAGCAGGGTAGCCTCAGCTTTCCTTTCTCACCTCTTCTCTTAGTGAAGAGCCTTAGAAATCTCATATGACAGCAGCATCATAGAGGGGGGAACTGAGGCCCAGGGAGGGTGATTATCCCAAGGCCACAGAACTCCACTTTCACGCACTGCCTTTCCTGAGAGTAAAGTTGCTGCCTGCCAAGGGGTCTGGGACCTAGGGTCCTGGGTGGCATCTTGGGAAGCTGGAGGAGTGATTGGACTCTTGGCTTCTTAGGGGAAAGAGGACTGCAAAGAGGTTTTCTTAAAGATGACTTGGGTTTGGGCTAGATTAGATAGGGACTTCCCTGAAGCCAGGAGCCCTATGGCATCTGGTCTGAAGGTGTTGATGAACATTAAAGACCACTTTGAGATACCATTTTACCTATTAAACTGGCAAAAATACAAATATTTGCCCTGGCTAGGTTGGCTCAGTGGTTGGAGCGTCAGCCTGCGGACCAGAGTCGTGGATTCTGGTCAAGGGCATGTACCTGGGTTGTGGTTCCTGGACCCAATTAAAGGGTCCCCGGCCCTGGTCGGGGTCATGCAGAGGCACCCAATTAATGTGTTTCTCTCACATTGATGTTTCTCCCTCTCCCGACCTCCCACTCTTCTGAAGATAAATGGAAAAATATCCTCGGATTAAAAAAATTTAAAACAAAAACAAATATTTGACAGCACATAGAGTTGATAAGAGTATATTTCCCAAACTTCATGTTCTCCCAAGTTTGGAACCTACTCCCATATCTCTCAACAGGGAATCGAATGTCTCTACAGTGCAGTAATATGCGGCCATAATATACTATTATGGTGAGATCTTTTATATATATATTTAATAAGGTATATATAGTGTGCTATCATTCGTATAGAGTCATGAGAAGACTAGAGTAGCTGTGAAGAGCTGCACAGGACACTGTCTCCAAGGCTGCAGCGGGGTGACTAGGAGAAAGGGCAGAAGATCTTCGCTGTTACTCCCATCTGTACCTTCTGGATTCCCTTACATCAGTGGTTCTCAGCCTGTGGGTCGTGACCCCTTTGGGGTCACCTAAGACATAACAGTAGCAAAATTACAGTTATGAAATAACAATGAAAATAATTTTATGGTTGGGGGGGTCACCACGACATGAGCTGTATTAAAGGCTCCGGCATCAGGAAGGTTGAGAACCACTGTCTTACATGGATGTGTATTACCCAGTGGGGGAAAGGAAATCCACACTGGATACATATTAAACAGTGCTCTATTGTCAAAGGACAATAGCTGGTCTTGATTTTCACACTGACTGTGATGGTTGATAAATCTAAAAAATATATTTTAAACGGCAAAATGTCTAGCTGCTGTAGGATCTCCCCAGCGTGCCCCAAGACTGCCGGCCTGCTCCCAACCAGCCCCTCTCGCCTGCTCTGGTCTCTGCAGAGCCCTGGCTGCCCAGCTGCCAGTCCTTCCACGGTCAGAGGTGACCTTCCTGGCTCCAGTCACACGGCCAGACAAGGTGGTGTGTGTGGGCATGAATTACGTGGACCACTGCAAGGAACAGAATGTGCCCGTGCCCAAGGAACCCATCATCTTCAGCAAGTTTGCCAGCTCCATCGTGGGGCCCTATGATGAGATCGTCCTCCCACCTGAGAGCCAGGTTGGTGCCGCCCCACGGCCCTCTCGAGTCACTGGGGCCCATCACAAGGGCACACAGCACCTTGCCTGCAGGAGCCACCTGTTGCTTTGTTGTGTGTTAAACAGAAACTACGGGGGAGTGCACAGTAATAAGACTGGCCTCAGGGAAAAAAAGTTAATAGAAGAGAGGGACCTTTCCATGATTCCCATTTGGATTACAAAAGTAATAGACCTTCACTGTAGACAGTTATAAAATTCAGCATGCACCTTCTAAGAAAAAGGACAATGTCCTACATGACTACAATACCATTATCACAACCAAGAAAATTAACATGAATAATCTCTGATATATAGTCCAACTGGGACATGACTTCCAGTTTGGGTACTGTTTTGTTATTTGTTGACCCAGGATCAAACAAGAACACACATTGTGCTTGGTTATTTCTCTTTAGGGCCTGTAATCTACAGATCCACAGGGATCCATGGGGTTTTTCTCAAAGGGCCAGTTAGTAAATACTAGAGTTTGAATGCCAGATAGTGTCTGTTGCAACACTTTAACTTTGCCACTGTAGTGTGAATGCAGCCGTGGCTGATACATAAATGAACGAACATGGCTGTGTGCCAGGGAAGCTGGCAGCAATCTGATTCACCCACAGGTCATACTTTGTTGAACTCTGGTCTCTGAACAACCCAGTGCCATATTCTGTCATGACACTGACTCAAGAGTCTAGGCAAGTCGTCTCATGGCATGTCCCACAGTCTGGATTTGTCTAGTTGTGTCCTTATGATCAGATCCAGGTTAAACATTGTCAAGAGTTCTACACAAGTGTCTCAGTCCATTGGGCTGCTATAACAATCAACTGGGTGGCTTATAAACAACAGAACAATTTTTCACAGTTCTGGAGACTAGAAGTGCAAAATCAAGGCGCCGATTAATTTGGTGCCTAGGAAGACCACTTCCTGGTTCCTAAATGATGTCTTTTCCTGTGTTCTCACTTGGTGGAAGGGGCCAGGGAGCTCTCTGGGATCTCTTTTAAATGTTTTTATTGACTTTTTAGAGAGAGAGGGAAAGAAACATCCATGGGCTGGCTCCTGCATGCCCCCTACTGGGGATCAAACCGGAAACTCAGGCATGGGCCCTGACTGAGAATCAAATGACCTCTCAGTCCATGGGACGCTCAATCCACTGAGCCACACCAGTCAGGCAGGATCTCTTTTATAAGGGCACTAATCCTATTCATGGGGGCTCTGCCCTCATGACAGTCACCTCCCAAAGGCCCCCACCTCCTAATACTATCATATTGAGTGAGGGGTGGGTTTCAAGATGTGGATTTGGAGGGACACAAACATTCAATCTGTAGCACAGAGTATCTGCACTCTGCATCCCACTGGGAGGCTCCTGTCTGGTGCCTCAAGGTGGATCACTTGGTTTACTTGCTGTTCACTAGACTTCTCCATTGCGAAGGTGCATTTCTCTGATAATGAGCGATCTGTGATTGTTTGAGACCATGGGGCTATCTTATTGCCCCCATTTTTATCCAGGTATTCGCTGGTCATCCTTACCTGACTCCCACTGTTGCACTGGGGGTTAGAAAAAGGTGATGTTTCTATCACGCCTTCTACTCTTGATTAGCTGGCATTCTATGAACAAAAGTTGCCTTTTTTCCATTCCTTTAGTATCACTATGAATTCTTTTTTTTTTTTATCCAACATGTAATCCATCATTTACAGTCTTCTTGATATGCAAGTGATCTCAGTTTGGCCAATGAGGGGGCTACAAGTTGGCCCCCATCTCTATAATTTTTTGAGCCCTTCCTTGCTTTCTGTCCAAATTAACACAGGCTCATCTTGTACTGTATTGGACTTGGAAACCAGGGAACCTGTTTTTTTCTAGTGGGGTACACTACGAGAAACCAAGGTCGGTGCCAGGTATGCACATAGCACCCTCTGGACCATCCAAAAGAGCAGCCAGTTTAAGAGGTTAGATTGTATCTGTTTTGTAGCACTTTGCTGATATGGGAAAGGCTGAGTATATTTTCATTTTCTGTGGCCCTGTGTATTTTTGTGAATTTTTTGTTCAAGCCTTTTGCCCACATTTATTTTGGTATATTGATCTTTTTATCATTTAATTAAGTTAAAGCACTAGAATGGTGCCTGGCACACAGCTGGATTAGCTATTATCACTTGGTATCCATCTTTTTGTGAAGAATCAAGAGTGACTTTTAAGTTCAGTTCCCAGACTAGTGTTACTCCTCTAGTCACCATGGGAACTGTGCCTGTATCCAGTGGTGCAGTCTGCCATTGCCTGAGGTTTATGGGTCTACAAGTCACACCCCCTTCTACTCTCATTCCTTTTTTATACTGTGGGCCAGCAGCTGACCCCACTGGTAGAGGCCCAGACTCCCTAGCACTGGAACGGGCCCCAGGGCCAGTTAGTTTACTGCTCCTTTCCCACTCTACAGGAGGTGGACTGGGAAGTGGAGCTGGCCGTGGTCATTGGAAAGAGAGGCAAGCACATCAAGGTGAGGTTGAAGGTGCAGTACCCACTGTCCTGGCCTTGGGAAGTGGTCAGCTAGGGCACCTGCCTTGTCCCTCGCCTAGCACCTTTGGTGAACTCTGGCTACTGTTATGGGATAAAGGCTATTTTATGGGGGTTTCTGTCACTGATCTAACCTCCAATCTGGCCAAATCCCCTGCCCCCTAGGCCACAGATGCCATGGCTTATGTGGCTGGCTTCACTGTGGCACATGATGTAAGTGCTCGTGACTGGCAAATGAGGCGCAATGGAAAGCAGTGGCTGCTGGGGAAAACCTTTGACACCTTCTGCCCCCTGGGCCCTGCCTTGGTGACCAAGGACAGTGTAGCAGGTAGGTCTCTGACAGCCCCCATGATGACTCTTGTTCTGCTTGGAGATGTCAGAGCAAAGAAATAGCGGCGTTCAGGAAGTGGGAGTTTGGGGACAGCTCAATGTGGAGCCCCGTTGCTTTCACTGATTCCTTGAGAGAGCACGTTTCAACGGGGGCTAGAGTTCTCAGTGGGCCTCCTTCCACATCCCCCCCTCCCCCCCCAGAGGACCACAGCCGCAGAGGTGGTGAATCTCCATTCATCAAGTGAATTGCAGAGAACAGTGCTCCCCTGGTGCATGGTCAGGCTTCCTCTAGCTGCCGGCATCTGGAGGAGTCTTTAGGTTGGAAGGAAGCAAAGCTGGCCCTTGAGCATCACAGAGAATGGCTGTCACAAAGCCCATGCATTTTCCTCCGTCAGGGAGCTAGCACCAACAGGACCTTGTCCAGCCACTGTGACCAGGGCAGCACTGGCTGGCCGTAGCAAGGGCACCAGAAGCCAGGAGGAAAGATGGTGACAGAGGGCAGAGCATGGCCACTTGGGTTGGGGAGTGTGTCTGCAGGGGTGTAGCCTCACACCAGCTTGTGCAGTCAACAATGAGATTAGATTGTGTTCCGGCTGCTCTAAGAGGATGTGTTTGTGAGTGTGTAAAATAAGAGTCAAAAGTGGTTAGCCAGGCCCCTTACCGGTGAGCTGCCCCCTGCCAGAGGCAGGTGCAGAAGGTTCACTGCCCTGCTCATGCTGTTCCCCTTTTCATTACAGATGCCAAATCTTTTTATATCTGCAGTTGTCAGCTTTTGCTGTGGATAGACATCTATTTTTTAAGGCAAAAAACTGCCATTATTTCCTCTTCCTCAAGAAGAGCCCCAAGCTGGCGTTTTGTGCATTTCAGACCCACACAACTTAAAGATCTGCTGCCGGGTGAACGGGGAGGTGGTCCAGAGCAGCAACACCAGTCAGATGGTGTTTAAGACAGAAGAGCTGATAGCCTGGATCTCCCAGTAAGTAGGATGAAGCCCTGCCCCACACAGCCACCTGCAGCTGAGCCCTCATCCCTTGCTGTGGCACCTTGGCCCCTGGTCTCACCTGGCCCTTTTGCCCCAGGTTCGTCACTCTTTACCCTGGGGACATCATCCTGACGGGGACCCCCCCAGGTGTTGGTGTATTCAGGAAACCTCCTGTCTTTCTCAAGGTAGGTTGGCTAAAATGAGGAAAGGGAGAGGGATCCAGTGGCCTGGCAGGCTTGGCTCAGACTTGAGAAACCCAGGCCTGTGCCTGTGTAGATGTGTGTGTCAGACTGAGGACTGACAACCTGCCGGCCGCTCCATTACAGAAGGGCGATGAAGTCCAGTGTGAGATTGAAGATCTGGGTGTCATCATCAACAAGGTGGTGTGATGGCTCCTGCTGCAGGCCCGGGACTTAAGACAAGAGGTGGGGCATCCACTCCCATTTGGCCCTGTACAGGGCAAGCCCAGTGCCTACCCCCTCAGGCTCCTGGTCTAGGCAGTGGAGGAGGTGGGGCTCTCTTCAGTAAACTCAGACTAAAGCAGTAGCTTGGTTTCTGCCTGTTTTTTTTATGGGGTGGGGAAGGAGAGCAGACATGTACACACACCAAAGACTGCTGGGCTTGGAAGGAGGACTTGTCCATTCCAGTCCAGTCCCCTTGTGTATTACACCAAAGGATGGAGAAAGCATGAGACGGCAAGAGACAATCCTCAAAGATTTTATAAGTCAACCAAAGGTTTGCAGCAGCCTCTGGCTCCAGGGCTTGTGTATCTGGGGCTGAGAAGTCTCCTTACAGGCTCCAGCCCACATTTCTAGCCACAAATAAATTGCCGGATGAACTGTTCCAGCTTTTCCTGATTGTCCCGGCTGGTGAATGTAGGGGACAGGCGGAGCATGGGGCCTGCAGGACTGGGCGTCTGCTGCAGCACCTGTGCCATGGAGAAGGACTCAACACTCACCATGGGGGAACCTGCAGTGAGACCTCTGGCCCCTTAGGCCTCCAGGTTGGAACTCAATGCTGCCTCAAACCATTCCCGGTTCCCCACCTGGGAGTAGAATGAGGTGGTGGTTTGGGAGACCGAGGTGGGCAGGAAAACCATCCCATCTTCTCCAACTCCTGCTACCACACCTCTTCTTGGGAGACACTGGGAAAACCCAGGGTGAAGGCAGGGGGATAAGGAGGAGGGTGAGACTGGCCCCTCTTACCCCCAAGTCTCTGAAGGTCCACACAGCCTTGATGGCAAGACATGGGTCTGCACACTCTGGATGGAAGAAAAAAGTGAAGCTGTAGCAGGTAGAGAGCCAATGGCACAGACTTCTCGCTCGCTCTCTCTTGCTGAAAGGAGGAACCACCCAAGGCAGGCTCAAACTGTACCCAAAGGCCCTTTCTACTCTGCAGCCCTCCTTTTCCTGGAGTGGGGCTGTTACTGCCCAGCAGAGGGCAGCAACGCCCCCTGCCTCCTGGGCACCACCTGGCTGCTTAGGACTCACCGAAGAACCCGTCCTCCTGAGCAGTGGCCTGCAAGAACTGGAACAGCTGCTCCACATAGCCTGACTCTGTGGGACAGAGGAGACTGAGGGCCCCGAGCTCTCAGCCCCTCCTTGAGGGTGGCCAGGGGAGTGCGGGCCTCACCTGTGTCAGGCAGCTGGCCCTGGTGGAGGAAGGCGGCAGCCTGTGCGAAGGCCTTGAGCATCGGACTGAGCAGGCGACACAGGAAGAGGAAGAAGTCAGGGCAGCGAGACTGCTGACTGAGCTGGAGGGGGACAAGCCAGGTGAAGGCAGCTGCCACTGTCTCCCTACTGCTTCCTTCCCTAGTGGCTTCTCCCAACGCACCCTGAAGTACCGGCCCTTAGCTTCCTCGAAGTCGTCACTGTCACTATCAGTAAAGTCTCCGCTCGGTTTCCATAGCAGCTTGGTGCTCAAACGCTGTCGCCCTGTATCGCAGGCCTGCTGGGAGCCTGGGGTCTGGGGGGCGGGGGAGCCATTGGTCTCTATCAGGCTATCCAAGATTCAGCCCTGCCCCCCAGATCAGGTACATGGCAGACTGGGCATGTGGAGCTACAACCAGTAAAAGCAGACCTAGGGAACCCAAGAGGCCCCCTGGGGGCACACAAGACCTGCTGAGCCAACCTGCAGGGTGAGAGGAAGTAAGCACCCACCCTCAAGGGCCATAGCCCTGTGGACAAGAAATATGGGGGGCAGGGAGTGTGCAGAGAACCTCAGAGGTATAAGTGTGCAATCCTGTCATGACAGACACACGTAGGCCAAGGGCTGGTATGGTCCACCAAGTCCCAAGGCACAGAGTAGCAGAGGTAGGACCCAGCCCCAACAGCATACATGGGGCAGCTGTCACTTGGGGTTCGAAGCTGAGGGAGGCCAGGCCCAGGCAGAGGCTGTCTCTCCAGTGGCCCTGCCTACCTCCTCAGCCACCAGGAGCCCACACTGGATGAGACGGTCCAGCACCTCCTGACAGTAACAGTAGGAAGACTGACAGGGCTGGGGAGAAAAGCATCCATGTAGCCTCAGGAGAGCCAGGCAGGGGTCTTAGGAGCAGGGCAGGCACGGCCCCTCCTACAACCGAGGGGGTGACCAGGCCTGAGCGGGCAGTGGGAGGCCTGACCTGCAGCAGCAGCATGTCCTGTGGCAGCAAGTGCAGAAGCAGCAGGACCTGGCGGTACAGCTCATTCTGGCTCAGCAGCTGGATGCCCTGCAGCTCCCAGGGCCCCTCTGCTGGCACTTTGCCTGCTAACAGTGCCCGAACTGCACAGGCTGGGGAGGGGGCCAGGCATGAGGAAGGAAGCCATCTCCTAACCTGACACTCCACCCATCCCCGAGCCCTCAGGACTCACCGCCCACAGCCTCACTCAGGAAGACAGGCAGCAGCTGGGCACTCAGGCGTGCCAAGTGCATGAGGCCTGGGCCAGACCTGGTAACCACCAGCAAGTCCCCTTGGTGGACACGCAGCAGAGCCACATGCGCCTGCAGCAGGCTCAGCGTGTGCTGCACCAGGCACCGCACCTGACCTGAGAAGCCCACGTCAAAGCCACGCAGCAGTGTTTCCTCTGTCAGCCAGAAGAACTCCCCCAGGAGTTGCGACAGGAACACACCCTGGTGGGCAGTGCCGGGGTGGAGCAGCAGGGTCACATCCCTCCCTCAAATCTACCCCCCCCCTTCCCCACCACGTTGAGCCTACCTTCTGGTGCTTGAACAGCAGCAGCGTCGCCATGATTGCTCTGCTCATCACCGCAGAGCTCGCCACACTGGCTGCAGCCGGGATGGGGGATGCTGGTCAGGGGCCTGGGTCCAGCAGCCAGTTCCTTCACCCAATGTCTGGGCTAAGAACAGTCTTCCCCTGCCTCCCTGGCAGCAGCCCCCCACCCCAACAACTCCACCCCAGGGAAGAGGAGAGCAGGCCTGTCTGGTTCATGGGACCACCCTTCCCAGTGGAGAACTGGCATTTGTCAAGTGTATGCTGAGACGGGCAGGGAGCTTAGGGACCTTCCCTGCCTTGTAGGGCCACCCACCAACCCAGTCTCTGCCACAGAGGGGTACCTGAGAAGACAGTAGTAAAGATCATTCTGTTAGGAGTCCCCTCTGTGCCAGACACTGTGTAAAGTCCCTCACATGCATTACTCCACTCGGTCACCCCATTTAAAGACTTGGAGAGGTGAAGTGGTGCGCCCTTGGCAGGGCCGGGGTGACCTTGGGTAGGTGGCCTGGATCCAGGCATGTGCCCTGTGCACAACTCGCCCTCTGTGGCTCAGGCAGCCATCTGTGTGCACTCGCTAGGGGGCGCCCTCGTCTCCTCCCTGGTTGTCCCGCTCCTCATGTATCCCAAGTGAGCCACACAGGAGGGAGGGTCAGGTGTAGAAGCCCACTTGGAATGGAGAGCCCTGACAACCCCTGACCGAGAGAGAAGGGACAGCTCAGGACCCTCTCCAAAGGCCCCGATCTAGTTCCCCTTACCATTCAGGATGTGACGGCTCAGCCTCCTGACCAGAAGCTGGTCCTCTTCCTTGAGGGCCAGAAGGGGCCCGGTTATTGGGGTCCACTCCTGCTCCTTCTCAGTGTCTGGGATGACAGTACTGGGATAGAGACAGACCACAGGATGAAGGGAGCCAACCTAAAGACAGTCTTGGGGGAGTCCAGAGCTTTCTCAAAAGAGGGTGTTAGCCCAGCCCCAGGGCAGGGATGGCTACCCCAGCCCCTTCCAGCCTCTGCCATTTCACACTCTCAGAGTCGGAGGCAAGGAAGGGTGTCAGGCACTGTTCTAGATGACCCAGAATATCTGGTGAGGGGAGGCTGGAGCTGGTGATGTCTATGGGTATGTGAAGAACGCTTGCTGTACCCTGAGACCCACACCCGCCCCTGCCCTACCTTTGGCCCAGCACAATGGGCTGAAGCAGCTGCTCCAGGGTCTGCCTACTGCCCCAGCAGCTTCTCGAATTGATGGTGTATTCCTGCCCAGAACAAGGCTCCCAGGTGGGCGGCCTGCCCACCCGGAAACCTGCTCACAGCCCACTGAGGTGGGCTATCCCTGCAGTGGCTCTGAGGGCCAGGCTGCAAGAAGCCCATGACAGACCACAGGCCCTCCCAGCTTGCCCAAAAGACTTCATACCTGCAGGGAGAAGGGCTGGGTCAGGTGCACACGGACGCAGACCCGGGGGCCGCAGCGCCAGCCTCCCAGGCTCCACAGGACAGCCAGAGCTCCTGTCCACAGGCCCAGTGGGGCTGTGGCCTGCAGGAAGGAAGGGGCTGAGGAGCTGTCTTGGACCAATGCTCTCTGCTCAACTTTATCTTGCAAACTAGTACATGACCATGACCTCTCCGGGCTCATTTTCTCATCCATGAAACAGGAGAAATCCCTCCCTAGTGGGGTCTTTTTGAGCATGAAACAGGATGACTGTATGAGCCTGGGTAGGCTCCACAGCACGATGACTGTAGGGGTAGAATTCCTTTGCACCCGTAGACCCTAGCCCTGAGGGGCACTCAGCCACAAGACAGAATATATTGTGCCTCCTCTCTGGAGGTGATGTCCACTTGGGGTCCCAAGGGGCAGAAGGGTCTCACATGGTGTGTATCACATGCATCTGGAACCAGGTCATGGGTGATAGCCACTGGCACCAGCATAGCATCTGGGACAACGCCCGCCTGGACCGCCTGGACCACTAGTCCCAGCCAGGCCTGGCCCAGGGCTGACAGCCAAGGCCCCTGGGTCCCAGGGAGCTCTTCCAGGAAGATGAGCAGGGGCTGCCCACTGACTAGCAGCTGCTCCACAACCTGGAAGGGGGCGGGGAGGTGGTAGAGAGGCAGGTGTCAAGGCTAGAGCAGCAACAGGCACCTATAACCTGGCCTGGCCCCATACAAAACCACTGGGGGCACTCACCGCTTGGACCACAGCCCTTGCAAGAACCCCCTCAGAGTTGTCCAGGGAGAGGTTGGCCTCTGGGGGCAGGAAAAGCCCCCCAAGCTTCCTCAGCAGAGTTCTGTGGGGCACAGGGCAGAGACAGCCTAATGAGGGAAGGGGCTCGGGAGATGGGACACAGAAGGAGGCTAGTGAGAAGCTTCGGCCCACCCAGGGCCGGCCTGGGTCCTACCTGAACATGCTGAGGCTAGGCATGGCCCGGAAACCAGAGCTGACCATCAGCCCACAGGCTGAACTGGTAGAATGTTGGGAGCAGAGGCCAGGAAGCGGGCCTGTAGGGAGCTGCTGCCAGCACACCCGTACCCCAGCCTGGGGACTTCTCTCGTGCATTTCTAGGGGCACAAGGCTTGTACCTGAGGATGGGGGAGAAGGCACAGGGGTCCCAAGCCACACGAAGCACGCCCAGGCCCTGGGAGAGCAACACAAACGGCAGCAGGATCCCATCCAGGAGTGACTTGTGGGTAGAGAGGAGAATGAGCGGCAAGCCCTGTTTGGGGAGAGCCAGACGGAAGAGTCAACCCGCCTCCAACCTGCCTGACACATGGAGCTGAACCGTGCCTCCAGACCCAGAGCAGCCACAGAGGGATGAAGGGTTCAGCTGGGCAGTTCTTAGAGCACATTTCCCAAAAGAAGAGGAGCTCTGTCGACAACTCTTAAGGTAACACACTGATGTAATGATTGTTAAGACCATGATGAAAAGACATTAGAGGAAGCCCCACGGGAACAGAGCCGTGAGACACGAAGGGAAGGTCATCAAAGAGCAGGGAAGTTTTCCCACCAGGGGACAGGGCTGGTTCAGACTAAGGGCTTGGCCTAGCTTTGCTCCTGCCATCCGGTTCCATCGGACGGCTTACCGTCTGGGCGGCCTTGTGGACCATCTTCATGTGGCCCTTGTGAAGCTGCACGTTCAGGAAGAGGCGGTTCAGGAACCGCAGTACTGCCCAGCTGAACAACCTGGAGAGCAGCGAAGCCCAGTCTGAGGTGTGGCAGGCTCTGCCCATGAGACAGGGGCCCCCAGCACCTCAGAGGGCCTCCAGTATTGTCCCTACTTTACAGAAGAGGAAAATGAGGCTCATAGAAGTTACAGAAACTGCCGCGTAGTAGAGAAGGCTAAGAAGTACCAGGACTGACCACAGCCCATGCCCGTGAGATGCTGACACTCCCCAGGAAAACCTCATGGTGCAGCTGCTTCACATCAGCCTCACACCATCTCCCTGCCCCCGTGTACCCTAAAGGAGGTTAGAGAACTAAGACTCACTCCAGGCATAACCTGGCCTGCTCTTTGCAAACTGCTGGCAAAGGTGAAAAAAGGGGGGGGGGGGTGATACAAGAAGGAAAGGGAATAATTGAAGGGAACTGGCTCTAAATAAGAGCAGAAGCATAGATGCAAGTAGCATGAAGATGGCGGACAAACATCATGTCCTCATCTGGCACAAGATGGGGCATCAGCTGACAGCAGGCATGGCTGAGAAGGAGCAGTCTGGACCAGAGCCCATGCCCCTTGGAGAACTGCACTCAGACGGAAACAAGTCCACGTGGTGTGCTCTGTACCAACATCTGGCTGCTCGGGTACAGAGAATGCAGGTAGCTGGGTTCAAATAGAACCGACTGTGCCCAGTGACTCCTTCACAGGGGCGTTATTTTCAATGATGAGCCCTGGAATTGAAGCTGTACCAGGAGTGGCTGATGGCTGGTATAAATGTGGCCAGGTTAGGGGACTGGAAGTCTCAACAAAGTCAAAAGAATTTTCATGTGGAGGGCTGGCCAGTCACTAACCTCCTCTGCTTTCTATTCTTCCTGTTACCTTCTCAGCTCTGTCAGGACAGCTGAGCCTGACACGCGCTGCCCTGCGCCCTTTTTCCTTCCATAAAGTCACTCATGCCCCGGCTTAACCATCATCTGTGTGCTCAAACTTCATGACTGGCCTCAGCCGCTCTTCTGAGCTCTAGACTCATGTAAACAAATGCCTCCACCAGCACATCAGGTGTCTGAAACACTAGATCCAAAACATCCTTTGTGGGTCGAACTCACTACTCCCAAACCTGCACCCTCCATCCACCCTACCAGGTGCTTGGCCAGAAACTGGCTCTCCTCTGAGTTCTCCCTTTTTCCTCGCTGCCTGACCCTGACCTCCAATCCATCAGTGAGTCCTGTTAATTTCACATTGGTCTCTCAATCCATTTTTCCAGTCTCTACTGTCTAAGCCATCACCATGTGTCACCTGGATTAACAAAACAGCCTCCCAGAAGGTCTTCTGTTCTCTACTCTTGAAAACAATTAATCTTGTTGTTATTCCTTACTTAAAACCTTTCCATTAGCTGTCATTGCACTTGGAAATCAAATCCAAACTTCCTGTATGGCCCTGTGTATCTGGTCCCTTCTTCTCATTTCATCTCCAACAGATAATTGGCCAGCTTCCAGCCACCACAGCTCAATGAGCAAAACTGGCCCTTTCCTGCTGCCATAGCTCATGCTCTTCCTTCCCTCTCATGGGCCGTTTCCTTCTACCCCTGCACCCCTCCCCCAAGGCTGGCTCCTTTCCCCCTTTCATCTCTGGCTTACAGGTCTTTATTCCCTTCCAGGTACTCCAGTCCCAGATTTATTCTGTTCTTGCAGCCATGTGCGTCTCTGTTCACCTGACCTGTGCACCCCTTCCTTCCCCCTGGGATAGCACCTGCATCTAAAAGGAGCTTAGACTGTGCAGATGAATGTGGGGGAGCAGGTGGTGAGAGGAGGAATGCAGGAGGAAGCATGAAAGCCTAGAAGATTGGGGAACCAGTCATCATTGCCTGTCTCCCTCTCTCCACGGGAATCTAACCTGGGGAGAGTGAAAAGATGTGGGGGTACTGAAGTCTGGGCACAACCACAGGTTTCTGGGGGTGACCCCCAAATTCTCACCCCAAGGACAGTCAACACCCAGGCCAGCCGTGGTGAGAGAAACTGGGCTCGAAGCTGGGGGCTGGCTCAGATCAAAGCCCCCTCCCATATCTAGCTGTCCTCAAAAGGTCTCAGTGTCCAGACCAGGGGCTCCTTCAGGCCCTCTGGTAAACACAGCATCTGGCTCCCCGGCGGGGAAGTTCAGTCCTTCCCCTAGCCCAGTCAACACTCACTCTCCAAAAGGGCAGAGGCCCTAGCCTAGGGATGAGTGTCCCTCAGCACAGTTACCTGAGCAGGAAGGGGCGGGGCGGGGCCTGGATGTGACCCAGGATGCGCTGTACCTCTTTCTTCACAAGGCTGGGCACCTGGCCTTCCCCAGCTCCTCCTGGAGCCCTCCCTGAGATGACATTCTGTACCCTACGGTGTGAAGGGAGTGGTGTCAGGCTGGGGCACTTCCCCCTATAGCTTCCCCAGGGCACAGCTGGTCTTTACCCTCCATCTTGAAGGTAGGGGCCGAGGCAAAGCTAATACTCTAGAAGCCAGCCCTCCCAACCACACCTGCCTAGAGCCTCTGTCATCCTTTCAAGGATCCCAGTAGTGCCAGTCTGACCCCAGTCCCTGCCTCCTCACCCAGTGCTTTCCATGACCTTCTGTGGGTCATCCCCGCAGGGTTGTATGCGCAGCTCCAGGGACCACAAGAAATAGCAGAGCCTCCGAACCAGCCAGCCCCGAAACCTGAGCACAGCCCGGAAGCAGGGGAAAGATCTTTCAGAGGGCCTATTTCCTACTAGGGCCCACAGAGGGTAGTCCATCAGGAAGGGATCACACCCCAGTCCCACAGCCCAGGAACACCTGAGCTTGGCTTTTCAAAGAGCAGCATGAAGAAGCACCTGCCCATCTGTGCCCCCTCCCTACCCCTCCCCGCTGAGTGGGGTATAGGTTCAGGGCCTGACACGGGGCAGCCCGTAAATTCTAACAGAAGGAACTACAGGGGAGTGTCTGCAGTTCCCTGCCTCTCCTCCCTGTGGATGGAGCAAAGGGCAGGGGCCCTTCTTTCCCACTGGAGGAAGAAAATAAAATCAAAGCAGGGCCCCAGCAGCCCCAAACCTCAGGGCCCTGCCCACCCCTGGCTTTGACTACCTGGTGTTCTCTTCCTTTACCAGGATCACATTGCAGAATCCCAGATCCATTATGCTTCTGTGGAAGAGGGACTCCTGTCCAAGAGGAGGCAGGGACAGCATGTCTTTGGGGGGGGCCTTCGCAAACCGGCAGAGAAAAGCCCCTGCTCTGTCTTCTGCAGTATCTGCTTGATGGACTACTGTGTCTACCAGGAAACAGGACTGTAGCACAGCATTTCCCAAAGGTCCTGATGCCCACTCAGGGCACAGGGTTCTGTGGTCAAAACGGAAGGACTGCCTTCTCTACAGCACTGCTCCTAGAGAGTGGCATAGTCAAGTCGCTGAGCAGGTCTCTTGTTTACCAGAGAACATGCATGTAGCCTGGCTCTCCACCAGAACTGTGGGTCCCATCAACACCAGCACACAAGGCACGGGTACACAGTAGGACTTCAAGCCTGTGCTGAGTGTGGGGTGACTCTGAGCGGGCAGGTCCCCCAGCTGGACAACAGAACTGTGCAGGCATGGTCAGAGCCCAGCTATCGGCCACCCCCTATCCTTTCAGGCGCCTCTGCACTTCCTCACCCAACTCTCCCAGGGCTGCAAGCCAGCCCCAGGCCGACAACACAACCAGCACCAGTGCCTCCTTCCCCAGAAAGACAAGAACAAAGGCATGGGCAGGGAGGGCCGGACCCGGAAGGACATAGGGAAGTCGTGGCTCCCACAACCAAGCTATGTCAACTCCCCAGGGTGGGGCCCAGCCCTACATTACTCACCCAGCTCTTGGGGGTGCAGATCTGGCAGCAGCGACCCACAAAGGGGCGGTATTTCCCCAGGAATGGGGTGATAGCCTCCAGCTTCGTCCCCAAGCCTGAGGACCACAGGTTAGTCTGGAAAGTGGCCACGGGGAGGGGTGAAGACTCAAAGCCCTTGGCAAAGGGAGGAAAGCTCCAAGAGTGAGGTGCACGAGAGGGGAGGTGGGAGGGCAGAAGGTATTCTGGAAATGGAAGGGGCCATACTACCTCTGGGCCATTCTGACTGCTCCCCTGCTGAGTTCGAAGTCTGGTTCCCAACATGGTGTCCAGGTGGGGATTGGGGGCGCTATAAGAGAACTGGCCACCTCTGCCTCTCTTCCTCTCACTACAGGGAAGTGATCTGGGGAGAAATGGTAGGATAGAGGGTACTGGAGTCTGGACCACAACCTGGGGTTCCTGTGGTGACCACCAAATTCCCATCCCTGGGATAGACAGACAGCACCCAGGTCAGCAGTGATGAGAAACTGGGCTGGAAGCTGGCTTAGACCAAAGCCATGTCCCATACGCAACTTGTCTCACCATGGAGCCAGCTGTCCTCAGAAAGTTTCAATGTCCAGATCTGGGGTAACCCGAGGACCAACACAAAGGAGATCAGTTGTCTTACCATCAATACCCACCCTGCCATATCCCAGCACAGATAAGGGCTATACTCAGGAGATCTGCAAAAGATCCCACTGGGTATCTCCTCACCCACTCCTTCCCATACTATTCCCCTGAATTAACAATCATCTATTCCACAAAGCAGCACTGAACCCCTCCTGGACTCGACACTAGGCCCTAAAAACCCCTCTACCCTGATCTCTCACCATGTCTCCAAAGGGTAGGCTGGTCCAGTTATTGATGTTATCCCTGCCCCCACCACACACTGCACATGCCCATGAGGGCCTGCCTTCTCCCCACCAAATTCTGCCCATGGCTCTAAGACCATGAAGATTTTGGATCAACCCCTAGGGTTTTCCTCTTCTCCTTGGTCCCCCCAGCCCAAGCTTGCTGGGCTAGGAGCCTCCTCCAGAGCTGAGGTTTCACTTCCTCTGGTCATCTGAAAGTGTCCTGAGGGCCAGGGCAGCAACTGACTCATCTCTGACCAGCAGTCTGCCCTGCACAGATCAGGGACCCAGGAAGTGCCAGATGACTGACTGTAATTTCCTGTGGGTCTCTCCTACTCTCCCTAATTAGCACTATTTAAAACCATGAAGCCAGTCGGTACCAGGGTCATGATTCCTGCCATGCACGAGCTCTGGCAGACTCATCCCAAATGCACATCCTACTTTGAAAGTGTTCTCACAGCTCCATTCACAAGTACTTGGCAAGGAGCTCCCACACCAAGACTGCAATCTGGGGAGTCTTGCTTGCTCTGCAGGAGGATGTCTCCTCCCAGCCTCAGACCATCCCTCTCAAAATCTAACCCACTAGATCTGTGCTAACCCTACAAGGGCCAGGAAGAGTACAAGACAGGGCTAGAGGTAACTCCTATTTGCCAACTACGTTAACTACTTAGCTCACACAATCCAGAGTTCAGTTCTGGGATATACCTTCCTAGCACGGAGCCCCCTAAATGGGGATCTTTGTCAGTCTGTAGCTCCTACCTGGACCCCACCCCCACCCCGCCACGGCAGGCCGCAATCCTGAGTGTCAAATGCGGCCCACATGCGTGCTTGCTGCCACACAGTATTCTGAAAATTGATGAACTGACATCAACAGTTAAAACTAGACAGCTTGTCAGGTTAAAAATCACGGTTTCCAGCTGCTGCGGTTAAAGAAGAAACCCTGATACACGGCACCTGTGGCAGGCCGCGCACAGGACTTCAGCTGGTTGGAGCCCGGCAGCGGCCACCTCCTCACTGGCCACCACATCAGCCCCTCCTGTTGCCTGGCCCCGCGCACACCTAAATTTGAAGCCCTCCAGCAAAGGATGACGTCCGATCTGTTCCCTACGAAGAAGCAGGGCTTGAAGGCGACCTCTTCCCCCCTGGGCCCCGGCCCCCTGGGCCCCGGAACCTGGCCCCTCGCCGGCCACGTGGCGCGCGCTCCCTGGCAGCCGAGGCCGAGCGAGGGCGCCCGGGCCGGCGGGCAAGCGTCTGTCTCGCGCGCACGTCCAGGGAGGCCACAGCCAGGCCCGGCGGCGGCGCCAGTGCGGCCCCCACACACGGCGGGGAGGACTCACTGCACCGCAGGCCCCACGGCCACGCTCCTCCACCCCCACCCAGGACAGTCACCCAGGCGGCGCCTGAAGCGGGAAGGGCCCTGGACGACCCCGGACTGGGCCACTGGCCGACCCCGCCCAGCCAAGCAGCGACTCCGCGGGTCTCACCTCTTACCTCACAACCGCCACAAGCTCTGGCCAAAGCCACTGCCTCGCAGGACGCCGAGGGCGTGGACCCGAGGCGCCGAGCGCCCTTCCGGGAGGCAGCCCTGACAGCCAATGGAATTGCACGCTGGGCCCAAAGCTCCGCCCCTAGGGCACCCCAACCCACGCACACCACGTGCTGCTTGGCCACGTGACCCGTGCCCAGGACGGGCCGGGCGGGGCTGACCGCGTGGCCCTGTAATGTGGACTCCCCTTGGCAGCCCGGCGCCTGGCTGTGTGCGGGGGTGGCCCTGGAGGCTTCCCCGAGATCCCGGGTCCCCGAAGGTTGGACAGGGTCTCGAGGACAGCCAGGTTCTAATGAAAGACGCCACCAAGCTGGAGTTTCGGTTCTAGCAAAATTCCAAGTTGGTCGCACTTAGAAAAGGCAGAGGATCACCAGAAGCCCGGACGGGGAAAAGCAAGCCAAGCCTCCCCCGTGTCATTTCTTGTGTTTGTTAGATTATAGGCAGGGCCCGGCTGCAGGCACGAGGTGCTGGGGTTTCAGGTGGTCCTCCATGAACGCTCAGCTCCATGGGCTGCAACAGCCCCACAGCTGGCTGCCCATCAGGCACTGCCGAGGCAGCAGGCACCACCAGCGCCCCTGGCCAGGGGGCAGCTTGATCGGAGCTGCAATTTGCAGGCTTCAATGGGCAGCTAGCGGTGGGGGCCCTGGTGGGAGTGGTGACATTCGGGCCCTGTAGCATTTCTTCTAAGAAAGAAAATGCCTCATGAAGTACCTCCCTCTAGGTCCTTCTCCCTGTAAAAGAGCCCCTTTCCCTGAGAGCAAAGAGTCCAGCATGCTCAGATTGTTTTCAACACAAATGTCTGGGGGAGGGCCCTCCAGGTGTCCTGGGTCATTGCAAGAGTGAGCATATGGGGAAGCAGATCTATATAATCAGTTGCCAGAAAAGTACTTAACTGGCCTGTATTCACCTTGCACCAGGCGGCCTCAGAGAAAGAATGGTCACACTCCCTCAACAATAGCCCGTTTGGGACAGACCCAGGGTCTGGCTTCCCCAGCACTTAACCACCAACCTTTCTCCCCCACTCCCACAGCAGCTGGTGGGTGGCTGTTAGCATTGTCTCTGGGGCACTGGGGGTGATGCTGGGCAAGGCATGGCCACACTGGGGGGCTGCATGGGGAGGGTCAGAAATGCCCTTTCTTTATGTGGCCCCCACACCTTCCCACCCAAGCCACTCCCCTCCACTGTCTGGAGTTTTGAACACAGTTCTTGCCCTCTTTCTGGCGGTGCTGGGCAGCATGGTTATGTAATAAGCAGCCGGCCTCATGAGGCCCTGTTCCAAGTGTGTGGACAAAGAATGGGTAATGCTGCTTTTCCCAGAGTGGAGGGGCTTGGTTCTGGCCTGTACCGGCCTCTGGAGCAGGAAATGGAGCAGAGGGAAACCTGTGGATTACTTAGAGTGTTTGCAGCTGCAAAGAACAGAAGACCCAACTGCAAAGGGCTTGAACAATAGGGAGATAGCCCTCCTGCACAAAAAAAAGCCCGAGGTACAACAGCCCAGGGCTAGTTGGCTCAGTGCTGCAGTGACATCAACAGAGACCCAGGTTTCATCCACTTTCCATGCTGCCCTCAGTGGGCCAGCTCTGTTCTCAGTCCAGCCTCCCTCGTGCCCACAGGATGGCTGCCACTGTTTCAGGCATCACATTCAGACATGACAACACCCATCAGAGGAGACCACGTCTTTTTAAGAATGAGGAAACTTTTCCCAGAATCCCCCTAGAGCTTCTGTCGTATTTCACTGGCCAGAATTGCATCACACACTCATTCTTAGTCTCCAGCAAAGGGCACAAGAAAGCTATGACTGGCTTAAAGGGCACGAATGACCCCAACAGCACAGGCTTCTGATACTCTATCATATGTCCGGCAGCATCTGCTGCACCAGGACACAGAGGTTCTTCCCACTCAGATCAGTGGAGAGGGAATTGGGGCTGTAGTCCTGCCTTCTCCACCAGTCACTGCCTGACCCTGGACAAGTCGGGTCCCCCATCAGTCACCCACCTGGCAGTCATTCTGTCTTCACACCCTGATTTGGTGTGGTGGCAGTGTGTCCAGACGGGATAGATCATGTCTGTGTAAGCAGTGTGGCAGCACCTCTGCCCTGTGTTAAATATCTGCCTGGGCAGCCTCCACTGCAACTAGGGGTAACCATGTGACCTATTCCCAGGCAATGAGAAAGAAGGGGGACCCGCTGGGGTCTTTCTGGGAAAGATTTTCTTCTATAAGGAAAGCCCCACCCCCTTTACTCTCCTCTGTCTTTCTCCCTTCTTTCCGGTTTGGTGACCATTAAGTGGAGATGTGATGTTTGGAGCTACTGCAAGCATCTTGCGACAGTGAGGGAAAGACCAAGAAAACCTCAGACATGCCAACCTTATGCTTTGACTTTTTGGGCTGTGACACAATCCTGGAACCACACAGATTTGTTATGTGAATAAAATAAACTCCTGTTCAATTAAACCCCCATTTGTTGCATTTTCTTTACTTGTAGCCAAATGTATCTAACAGAGCTCAGTTTCTTCACCAGTGAAGTGACAATGGCTCTGAGGGTGGCCGTTCTCCCTGGGCCCTAGCCCTCTGTGCTGAGGGAATCCTTCCAGAATGTTAGTGCAGTGCTATGTAATAGAAACGTAATGCATGCCGCATATGTAATTTCAGATTGTTTAGCAGCCATGTTAAAAAAAATACAAAGGCCCTGGCCGGTTTGGCTC